AATGTATTTCAAAAATGAAAATAACTGAAAAAAAAAAAATTGTATTTTATAGCTTAGCTGAACAATTTAATTGACACTTTGATTGCATTTTCCTGCGTGCATTGGCACAAATGCTTCCGAAATTAAGGCAGTTTAACTTACATCATTGTTGAAAGATTGTATAAAATTTCAAAGGGGCAGAATTTCCACTGTGGTATTGAATTTACTACATATGAAGATTTTGGCATATAATAATGCACTATGTTATTACAATTATTCTTTAGATAAGGAAACATCATATGTCCTGTTTGTAACAATGCCAAATTAGTCAAGTCTATATATTGATATGTAGTTTATGCTCGATATATCATATAAAAGTATAAATATCAAACGGGTTCTAAGTAAATCTGATACAAATGTTGATAGTTATAATTTTGACAAGTTTATTTCTAGACTATAACGAACCCCGGTGGTCGGGATTCCCAGTGACGTCAGGGTACGCCTTCCCGACTTCTGGTTTCAGTAAGCGTGGTGTCAGACATGACGCGGATCAAAGCTGTTCCGTTATTGTATATAGTTACACGCAAGCTTGTTTGATATCATAAATGTAAAATTTAACTGGTAATTCCATCACGTGTTAGTGTCAGTACCTCGAATGTACTATTAGGTATTACGGGCAACGCTCCTGACTTTGGCGTCACAAATCATCGTAATGGCGGGTTCGTGACTCCGGGGTCTGACGATTTGCATCTGATAGTTAACTTTCTTATTATAAGTAAAAGTATCTTCATATCCTTGTATAAAATAGCAATGATCAGTCTTATATTCCCTGTCCATGTTCTTGTATCCCCTGTTTATGGTCTTGTATCAACTGTCTGTGATCCTGTATCAACTGTCTGTGATCTTTTGTCTGGTGTCTATCATGTTATATCACCTTCGTCTCGGGGTCTATAAAGACCAGACGGGGTCTATGAGCCCGTAGACCCCTCCTAACCTAGAGATAACTAATAATATCCCCTGCCCATGTTCTTCTCCTGTCTATGATTTTATATCTTCTGTCTATGATATTATATTTCCTGTATATCATCTTATATCTTCTGTCTGGCATCTTGTATCCCCTGTATATGACGTTTTATTTTTCTGTCCATGTGAGTTTCAAGGAGCTGAGTTGTCGAAGGTATATATACTGTCTGGGTTGGGATGACTAATTTGAGTTGTCTTGGTCAGTGTGTCTGTTGAGGTGTCTTCACTACTCCTGACACAGAATTGTTTCATCCTTTTTTACGTCCTTTTGTAGGGTGTATATTATTATAATTACTCCCCTTCAAAAGTGTCCCAGTACACGTATATAACCCATGAGACACAGTGTGCATGTTACAATCTCCAATCGACCCATATGTATGAAAACGGTTCAAGTACAGACCTTGCCCCACTTTTATAATTTTTATCTGTCAATTGATAAATCATCGTCCTTGAGATTAAGTCAGAACAGCTTTTTAAATACGTGTCGTGTTAGCTGTGACGTCACGCGATATAGTGCAAGTCAGCTAAATCAGCCTTTTAAATGTGTCGTGCTAGCTGTGACGTCAAGTGTCTCGGAAACATAGTATACATTTTTCGAAATCAGTCTTTCAATTTGTCGTGCTAGCTGTGACGTCGCATGAGATAATGTAGGGTCTGCAAAATCAGCCTCATTTTTCAAGTCGTGCTAGCTGTGACATAACGAGATATGATGTTGAGTCGGCAAAATCAGCCTTTTTTGTCGTGCTAGCTGTGACGTCACTAGATATGGTAAACAGTCTTCGAAATCAGTCGTGCTAGCTGTGAGGTCGCAAGATATATTATATAGTCTGCGAAATCAGCATTTTTTGTCGTGCTAGCTGTGATATCGAGACACTTTTTCTTTCGTTAGGTATCATGCTTCGCACGTTACATGTACAATGTCGTGAAAAGGTCATTGCTACTATCATCGAACCCTAAAACTTCATCTTAAAATAAAGCGGTAATGACATTTCCTCTGGTGGTGTGTATCACTACACGTCGGTAATTGTGAGTGTTGTGGAGTCGTTACTGACGGGAAGTTGTGGTACTTTTTCATGGTTTTCCCTTTGCGGTTGTATTATAAAATTGTTGGTACGTAGCCAGTATCAAATTTGCCTCACACACCAATTTGTCTGTTCGTTTAGCGTCCATAACCCGCCGAACATGTGTTTATCAACGTTCTAGTCGTATCCAAATGGCTGGCCAATGTGATATGCTATAAAACAGCTCATTGCTGTTGCTATTTTACCGGTGGAGAGTTTCTTTTCAAAAATTACATTGGAATTATGAACTCAGCAAGCCTATACGTTATATGTGGCTATGGAATATTGCATATCTCTGCAGCTTTGTCGAAACGTCATGACGTGTCCGCTCATGTAAACATATCTGGCGATACTTTGTGATTAAAACTAGGATATTTTATAAATCGTTTAACAGTTTTTCAGTTTTCATTCTAAATATATAAAAAAAAATCAAACTTGCTATTTTGTCTGCTATTTATGGTGTACTCAAGGAAATAAATTAGTGCATAATGTAGATTTGTACAATCATTTAAGTTGAGACGAACGGAAGATATAAAACAGTCAAGAGAAGGCGCACGTGTAAATAAACACTTGTGATAGTTGCGGAAGTGTTTGCTATAGACACCAAATTAAAGGAAGGCGCATTTGCAATTATATAAATAGTTGTGGAGCAGGGCGCATTTGAAATCTTGTAGGGGTAGCGACGTCAAGAGAACGATAGTCAATAGATGACGTAGAGATATAATTATTGTATAGATTTAAAGTGTATATCATTACGTATACTGTAATTACATTCTAGTTATGGATTACTTTCCGTTTGTTATAAATGACCAACTCCTTTTTTTAAAATTTGGTGGGGCAGAGATCAAGTTTTTTAAAGGAGAGAATCAGTTATTTCGGACTAAGGTCGACAGGCCGGCGGAATAAAAACATGGCAGCATCGAAAACCAAGAGAGGAGGTACATACATTTGATAGCTGTGGGTTTGTATGGGATCGAGACATCAAGGGTAAAGCTACAGTATTATAACACAGACATCAAAATCGCGTCCCTCAACCATACTAATGGTTCTGTTAACACAAATCGCCGTATAATGTGGGGATAATGTAGACATTGTCAGGAGGTATTTTAATGGCTAGGGGAGGTCAGGCGGTCATATTTTAATTTCTTCACAGGTGCGATAAGTATATTCAGGTTAACACGGTGATATATACCGCCGATGTTTTTTATTACCCAGACAAATTGGACGACGGGACGTCGTGTTTCCTGAGCCGTACTATCGTAACCCTTTATTTTCACCAAATGACCACAAATAATATCTTACCAATATCCTTATGAAAAATGTATTATCTACTGTGGTATTGTTAAAACATATTTCGTGTCTGACTCATATAGAAAATTGGGGGACATAAATAAAACACAAAGATATCCTAATTATAACGCAGCTAGGTCGGGTATCAGAGCGGTTTGGTATTGTGAGGACAATATACACATAGATACACTGAGCCTTTGTTAGGGCCGAAACAGATGATTCTCATTCCGTGCTAATGGCCAATGTTACTTATGTCAGCGATGTCAGTATTCCTTCACAGTTACTGTTAAGTTTGACTTAAATGTTTTAGTCACAAAATAGAGGTCAGGAAAGTTTAACCTTTGGTATTTGATAAACATCACGGCTAAATTATCGCATAGTTTGTGATAAGTGTTTAGTAAGTTTGACAACCCACCTTTCTAAGTATTTACTTCTGACGTATAATTTTTGGTATATTGTTACGTACTTAAAGCTTTCAAACGGACAGAAATAATAGTAAAGCTACTGCTAACTGTTAACAGACAGGGTCATAAATCAGAAAGTATTATTCATCTGCGACAATACATCAGAAGAAGAATCAGGAACGGCAGACCGGTTCCGTTTTGAAAAATAGTCACCAACTTCCTGTAGTATTTGGCGGGAAACTACTCAGCTGCTGAATCACCACGGACTTAGATTCCGTGTATATATATAGACTCCAACATATTAATAATCTGTGGCCTCAAATTGTAATGATATATCAGCACAAAGTATTTATGATCACGATTGGCTTTAGTCTGAACCATCTGGGTCAAACCAAAAAGTTACAACGTAACGGTGTTGATCGAAGCCACCTCAAGTGTATATTTTGTACATTTATTCGCTAATACTGAACTTAACATAATTTTGATATGCTTTATAAAAGTAACATATATCATTTTAGCGTTCTAAAAAGGGATTTGGTGGAAAAAGTGTTATTATAGTGTAGTACTGCATCCTGGAAACTAGTCCGAATTATTCTGACGTTTTATCGACTTTTTTTTAACGTCGGTCTGTCGTCGATTAATCGACAACAGACCGATATAAAAAAAAGTCGATAAAACGTCAGAATAATTCGGACTACCTGGAAACCAATATTTTGCAGGAACAGCGACATATTGATTTAATTTAAACATGTTTTATTTGTCATTCATATATTTGGGTATCGATCAATCTCTGGTTTGATGCATTTATATACACAGACAAATGAAAGACGCTATCACTTTTTCTGAAATTACAGTAGCTACTCATGAAAGAAAACAAAATCAAATATCAGCATAATTCACAAAACTGTATCACAGAATTAGATCCAAGTGTCAAAGCTCTTGTCATTTTTGACCAAAAATAAAAATTATTAAAATGTAGCCTTGACTGATGGTATTAGATTTACATACTGTACATGCATGGAAGTGATTATTATCATTAATTGCTAGTTTCAAGCCAAGTTATAGCACAGACTTCGATCTAATCTAATTCCGTGGTTATAGCATGCATGTATCTGAGACTCCTATTTGTTCTGCATTGTAGAGGTGTGCCATAACCCAGGTGCCTGGGGACTAGAGCAAGTGTATCACTGTAATACCACAGAATTTGTTAATGGAAACATATCTGACACATTTCTATTTCCAGACAGGGTTACTGCGGACCAGTACTGGGACCTACTTTATAGAACCAGTGAAAGGACATCCTGAACTGGACAGCGGCCATCCCCATATTGTGTATCAACACTCATCCCTACCGTCTAACATCGGCCTTCATAACCTACACAACTCACCCGACCAAAACTCTGCGTGTAATGTTGAAGGTGAGGACATTGGTAATAACGTATTTACAGTTTGATGTTGTGACAGTGACCTATTATCCTTTTGATTACTGTGATTTGTATATACTATGGCCAATAGCAGTATACGTACATGTAGTTAGATAAACTTACTGACCTATTTTTCTCAATAATTTTAAACTTTTAAACGATCCTTTGAAAATTTTGTGTGTTTAACCACGGAATTAGATTAGACTATCTAAGTCCGTGGTTTAACACATTAAAAATTAACGAATTATTTAGACTAATTAAGCCACAGGGGCGGGCCCGAAATTTATCAGTTTCACTCTGGACAAGACCTGTTCTTATATATTATACAGTTATACTATGACCGACATTATATCTATTTTATTGATTGTTGAATTGCTGAGCTAATTTGAAGATGAGATTTGTGCACACGTTTAAATAACAGTATAAATGTGCATTCCTGTGTGTGCAGTAGATCATGTAGGTGTAATGGGACCCTGACAACACAGTACTAGTTTACAGTAAATGATGCAACTTGTATACAGGATCATCAACGGGAATATGATAAAAGTGAATTTATTGCCAGACGTTACCTAATTAACTGAAACTTAATTCGCCTTCTTTTCGATTAGAGGTTATGATGCCTGTTTTGGTTGAATGTCGACAGTGTTATTGAGTGTCCCTAGTAGATTGTGTTCTCCAGTGATGACCTGACAGTAACTGGGGGTCGACAATGTCGGAAACTGAGAGTGGGGTCACGGGGACACCCAACACATTGTATACTGACGCTGTTTATTGGCTTGTTTACTTTGTGATGATGTTGTCATGTATAAGTACAACGCTGATTATACTTCTCATTAGAACAGCTCCAAGAACTTTAAAAAAAACACTTTTTTAACTTAAGAGAAAAGGTGTTCTTGCACAGGTGCACATATATACAAGTAATTACTTTGGCCAGCTGGCCTTTTTAAAAAAGTGTTTACTTTAATTTCCCAGCAATTTGTAGTTGTTTAAGAAGAGATATACACATACTGTGTAATCTATTAAGGTTCAACCCTGTATAAACCGGAAACCTTTGTTAACCAGATACCTGTATACACCATACCTAGTGATCACCTGCCATTGGGAGACTAGATTTTTTATTGACATAAAAAAAGGTTTTGCTTAAGGTTTTCATGTAATGTTTTAATTATCTAGGATAAAAGATTTTGATTAAAAGAGAACTGACTATGTTTTATGATATCAAAGAATTTGGAAATACCCAGATTATTTCTTTAAAGGGTATATATAAACTACCAAACTGTGATATAATCTCCTTTTAAAAAGAGTTCAATTTTAATAGACCCATAATATATAGATAACGTTATTTTTAATGACTTACTGATTAATTGATTGAGGACAATTTAAAAAGGTACTTAAAAAAGGTATGTATTGATAAACCTATGGTGTTTTTTGTTTTTGAAAATCACAAATGGATAAAAAACTAATTGAAGGGAGGTAACACCTACAGGAGTAATAATAATAAAGGTAACATATGTCCTTAAGGAAGATTAAACCAACATAAATCAGAGGTACAATGTGTACTGACATGTACTGACACGTATCTTTTAGGTTCAACACAACAGATCCCTCCTTAAATGACCATAGCTGTTGATAGGACATTAAACAAATCAACATAAGGGATTGTGAGACTATCAACATGTGCGTATATATTCATAGGTTAATGAGATACCTCCAGATGATTGGAGTCACCAGATAAAATCAAAAGTCATGACATTGATGCTGACATGATCCAATATTTCTATTGTGGCTTATGTTTAGACTGCTCAATCAAAGCTAACCTGTCAGATGAGGGAGTGCCTTGTTATGTGACTGATGATGGTTAGGCATTACAGTGACAAGTCTAAAGCTATAAGTTAACTTCATGATATCTAAGGTTCTCTTAAGAACTGTTATGAAATACTTAAAATCATATGATAAAATATTGCATTAATAAAAAAGTTTTCTATTTGAATTCTAAGATGATTTATATTTTTAGCTAGATGTACTGCATATTCAAATGACACTACTTCCAAACACCTATGATCATTAAATGTTGCTGATATGATTTTTCATTTTTAAAACTTTCTTAGTACAGTATAAACAATAAAATAGTACTGAAGATGTAAAATAATCATGATTTGAAAGACCAGAAGGTTATTCTGACCTGGTACCTATGTCACTATCATGTAATTAGAGCAGGTAAGATTTATTGGGCACCTTTGACCCATATACACCTCCGTAGCCTCTCTCTGGGAGCAAGTGGAGCTCTTCATTTCATTGAGTGGAAGGTGAGAAGCACTAAGGACTTCTGACATTCCTAAGGAGCATTATTTAGACCCTCTTATAAATCGAGAGAAGTCCTGAGTAGTGCTAGTTACTTCCTTGATTTATTGTAAAATATATTGGTGACAAGACTCCTGTTTCAAAAGTTAAGTATTCTGTAAATATTATAAAACTTGGCATATTATATTTTAATCTTTGTCAGCAAGAATTTCTTAAGGCTTTATAGGTAAGTTTTTTAAACAGATCTAGAAAGTCTCAAAAATAAAATATACTTTGTACCAGTACAATGTAGTTGAAAATGCCCAATAATTTGTGGCGTACATACCAGGTTCCAGAACAAATATCAGGATTCCATATCATTTACATTTACATTTACCAACCCCTCCTTAAGCTATAGAATATTAAACCGGTATTAATGTAATTTGTTGAGTAGTTTTTCTCAATCCAAATAAACCTTGTGTTTCTTCCAAAGACAAATCTTAGATCTTTGAAATTGAAACAACATTTTCTTCTCTCTCTGAAGTATATTTTGTACAGTAGACTTGAGAGAAAAAAGGAAAAAGTGCTTTCATTATCAATCAATTTAAATGCTGTTTGAAGAATTCAAAATTGAATGTTCATTCCTTTGTTTTGATAAGGGCTAAAGGATAAAGGCTAAGATATTTTTTAATTTAGAAAAGGAGATATTTGTCTAAGAGAACAAGAATATAAATTGTATTATCAAAATTTCTCCTTCAGGCCATAATGGACCATCAGAAGAAGACAAAGAAAGCTATGACCGAGCCGCAGAGAATCGCCGCCGCCACACCCACAGTCGCAGGAAGCGCTCCATCTCTATCGAACGGCACATCGAGGCCATGGTGGTGGTGGACCCCGCCATGGTGGACTACTACAAGAATGAGGACGTGAAAACCTATGTCCTCACCATCATGAACATGGTAAATATATTGCATGTATTTTATTGTCTATTAAACATACGGATTATAACTTGTATCTCAGGTGTTTCCATGCCCAGAAATACTACAGAATATGTAGCAGTTAATGACAATGAATAAGTTATTTTTGCCTCCAAATAAGGAGAACAAAAATTGGGTGGGCTTATAAAACTGATCTGTGATAGAAAACTGCCTTCAAATTACCTGTACATGTAAAAGGATACCTGATGGTTATATAAGTGGCATTTATATGGCTGATATAACCACTGTTGCTGTTAGCATACTTTTTATTTAATTAATTTAACAAACTTGTACAGCTGCACTGGTAAGAAAGTGCTGATAAGTTATGGGGTTTTCTGTAGATACACATGTAGGGATTTCCATCAAAATGTCACATGTTTTGGGTAAAATCATGAATTTGGCCACAGTTTTTGCAAGAAACCTTTCTTTTGAGAAATCTGGAAGATGTTATTTTGTATAAAACATTAAATGAGACAGAAACTGTAAGATGACATTAATTGTGTGTGAAAATCTACATTAAGGAAGTGTGTATCTTCTGTTACAACAGTTTTTACTGCAAAGAAATTATGTAGATGTGGTTTCCTTTACAAAACCTACCATTTCCAAGTGTAACACAGGTACTGCGTAGAAAGGGTTGATATATAAAGCGACAATTCTCTAATGTTGGTTTTATATAAATACTTAAATATTGCGAGCCATGTTGACATTTAAAAGCAAAACAAAATATCTTGCAACACAAGAGCTATCTTATAAAATAAACAAGATATATTTAGGATCCCCTTGCCACTGCCCAAACTATGCAGTGGAAACTCTGTTACCGGCACCACTATAGCTTTGATATTTCATTTATGAAAAGGAAACCATATACCTCTGCCGAACTGAAATGAAAAAAAAGATGATGTAAAACAAAAATGACGTTGTAGTGTGTATGTGATGTCTAACAATGGTATGTGATGTTGTGTTTGGTTTTATCTCTTTAATCAGAGACGCGTTCGGATTATAAAGGTTAAGATGGTTGCCATGCATACTTTTTTCTCAAAGATGTGCTTGTTGATTTTAAGATTGTGAATATGGATGATAAAAACAGGAAAGAATTATGCACCAATTTACTTCCCAGTGGATCTAAAAATTCATTTCACAGATGCAACGAAAATTCCAGCTGTTCTTTCAAATTCAAAGCTGTCAAAGTCTGTAAAGTAAGGAGAAGCAGATCGCTGTCTATTAACTTTCTTTGTTTTAATTATTCGTTCAGCAGCAAAGATTGAACCATAACTGTCTGCAGTCGTGGATGAAAGATTTAGACTTCTATACAGAAAAGAACCCCCCAAAAAAATGAATGTTGTGCAAGATAAATTCTTATCAGCTAGCTACAAATGAACAACCCTGTATTTTTGGTAACTACAAGAATTTGTTTCGATTGAAAATGCAAGCAGACAGCAGAATGCCAAGAGATTGTAAAGATGCCGTTCCTATATTGATAGGGTTGTCTTGTTGCATTCCTATCACATTGAAAACCCTTTGTAGACTGAAGCAACTTTCCTTGTGTTTTGAGATCTTTAAAACCTGTCGAGTTAAATCAACCTGACAGTTTGAACACATGCACAACATTACAAGTTTTTCTCGTTAAGGAATTTAATTGGCCATGTGTATCAAGTGTTGGTCTGATAGGATCACTTTACCTGTAATCATAATAGGTAGGCAATTTACAGCTTACCTGTTTCATACCTGTAATTTAAAACTTTAAAAACAATGATGCTATCAGCTGAGAGCAGGTATGTTTCTGCGTAATTACCAATTACCATTAGACATGTGTCACTTCAATTTAAACCACAACTATCACCTTGTAATGGATATAATCAAGTGAAGTGAAATTCATGATGATAATTTAAAAGGAGACAATAATATATGACATTTTAAAATCAGTATAAGGTCTAATGATACAGAAAATTATGTTAATTAATTTATGTAAGCCGGCCCAAATTAGAGTAATTGAAAAGTTTGTTGTGTGATTTTTGAGGCATTTGTAAGTGACATGACATCTGCATATTATGCAGCATATAAATTTCACTGTGTTTTAAACACTGCTATCCCAATCACTACATAAACCTATGCCTATTCAGCTATTATAAATGTGTGTATACAGGTACCTGCTAGTGTATTGGCCTCGTTATTGCTCCATTTTATCCACATAGGACAAAAGTTATAACAGTGCCTTTGTGCAGGGTTAGTGTAATTTTATTTTGTTCAATATTTATATTCTTTTGATTTTTTTAATAAGAAAGTTGTTTGGAATTTTACCGTAACTTGACCTAAAAAAACACATAATATAAAGACTTTAAGGTAGAGTGTGTGTGCCCTATTCATGATGTCAAATTGGATTTAGTTCAGTAGTGCGTCTTGGTGCATCCTGTCAAATTATCCCATCACAGGAAAATGAAATGTATCATTCAGCAGAAATCGCGTGACATTGTAAACAGGTCTGCATTTATTTGGCAGTAAATCACTTTTTTATACATTTTTGTTGCACAATGAAATCAGGGACGGTTTATATACCTATTATTCTATTTGAAGATTTTTCTAAGTGTTCTTTTGTGCTTTTAATAGCTTTAGTGTGGGCATTTGTAAAACCAGATCTCATGTTTTATTTCTGTTGGTAGACTTAAATTGTGATTTCCTAATTTCAGTGTATAACAATGAAAGCTTGTACCTGATACCTGCTGATGAGTCATACTCGTAGTGTTTTACTTACAGTCTCAACGTTAAAAGCATTGTCAGCTTCATGTCAACATATCGAGTTATGATCTGAGCTGATATTAAAATGAAGCCAGATATAGACCTACTTACATGTACATGATTCAAAGACTTTGTAAAAAAAATTGGACAAAAATAAGCAAAACGATTTTTTATATATTTAGATTTAACCAACCTTCTTTTGAAGATGTAGCTGCGGTGCAAAGTAGACTTTGACGTCAAGCTTTAGAGAAAACTGTCAAAGAGATTTTTTTGTATAAGAAATTGTTATTGTTGTCCATTTGGACTTTGTGACAATAAATTTGAAGAAGGTTGCATTGAAATGCTCGCTGAGGCATAACTGCAGCAGACCTTTAACACAAGTCGGCTACAATTAGTACTGGTAGTTGTCTAGCATGATTTCTTAATTGTACACTTTTCTCTGCTTTATGATTTTTGATGGCCAGGTGTGTTTTCTACTCGTCTGATATGTACAATGGAATCCAGGTGTTAAACCCATACACCTGTAAATATTGTATACTAATTGCAAATTCTGGACCGGATAAAAAACTGATATTGGGATCATACCTTTACTAGAGAAGCGTCTGGGCCAGGATAATTAAAGCTTGTGAAGCTTTAGGCAGATGAGGCCAGTGTTTGACATTGAGATATTAGATTATTTATGTTGAAGTAATGGTTAAACATGTATAAATGAGTATAACAGCAGGTGCCCCTTTCAATTTATATGCCAGATGCTAATTAGATACTTCATAACCCATTGGAAATCTGCTTGAGTATAACACACATCTATCTTACGTAAATTACCTACAGAGCCCAACAATGAACTTTTACAACCAGGAAGGATGATTACTAAGCCCACTTAATCATGATTGACCAAGGGAATACAATTTATGACCTTTATAATCTATAGTTCTTTATGAACAATTTTTGTTTTTTCAAACAGGTTTATAAACTTAATACCAGTATTAAGATATAATATAAATAGATGGTCTTAGGTGCAACACTGCACAAAACGGAATAGGTTCAAATTTGAAATCAAAATATTGTTAAAATAGTTTCTATTTAAGAATCATGAAACATTTCGTTGATATTATTTTTATAACGCAGTTGTTGTGCGATAATCAAGATTCAATGAGAAAAAGGAGATAAAAGAAGAGCAAACATGGAATAGCATGTAGTCTTTATATAATTTACAGGAGTTTTCCTCTAAAAAAAACACTTATTTTACAACCATTATGTACATGTAGCATATTTTTTTGACTTTTATTCATCATAATTATCCCAAAGGGAGCGTGTAGCGGACCTTAATGTAGGACGAGACCAGAGAACCCTCAGGAAACCTGTGAGGTCGGACAATTGATCCGACACTTTTCATGTTTCATGTCTGATCAGGAATCCTTCCTTGGCCATCTTGGTGGAAAGCGAACGATTCTCTGTGATACAGATACAGAAAAATACCTACATCAGATCATATAAAAAGGAAAAAGAATTACAGATCTTGTTTCTAGCAGAACACAATTTCATAACCTATTTTCTTTATCGATCAAGAAAGACATGAGAAAATCCCTAATTCTTTAAAAAAAGAAGTACAGATAAAAAGGGAGAGAAAGTTATTTAGGTACATGCTTTCTCATCAAAAGTAGCCGATTAGAATGACTAATTACTATACTTGTGTTTTTAGGTGGCCACTCTCTTCCACGAAGCTTCTATAGGGAACGCCCTCAACCTTGTTGTTGTCCGACTGGTGCTGCTCGAGGACCCACAGGTACACAACAAGTCATCAACTTTACTGGGACCAATTAGTCGTTCATTGGTTCATATTTATGAGAAATTGATCTGAAAAAAGACGTGTTAATTAATAAATATTTATGTGTTAATCTTATAATGGTCTGAAAATATTGACATTATATACAAAAATTATCTGTATTTAGTATCTTTTTGACAATTCAACAACGAAACCGTGGTTTATGTGAATGAAATCATAAAAGAAGGAAGATAAAAGAAATGAAATCTTTCTATTGTTTACCACACTACAGGAAGAACTGAGGCTTACCCACCATGCTGATAAATCATTGAGGAGTTTTTGTAAGTGGCAGAAAAATATCAACTTTAAAGACGACGACCATCCCAACCATCACGATGTAGCCATACTTCTGACAAGGTAAATCAGTTGTATGTGGTTAGGAACTCTCGAATGCACTGCTTGATGATACTTTTTTTCTCTTAATTCATTTACATCTAAAGAACTTTACCGGTAGAAAAGTATAAACATCTTATATAAACAAATTAATTACAAAAAAATATAGATATAAATTAATTTAAAATAAAATGAAAGTAGTTATGAAATTTTTCTAGCAATATATTCTGCTGCTGAATAAAAGTAATGAGATGAAAACATCATGGCTTTTGTTTTTAACCTTTTCACCACTGTAGACCATAATGGACTCATCCATATCCATACAATTACATGGTAGAGTTTACTAAAGTTACATAGGGGTGAAAGGATTAACATTCTAAGAATTAAGCCCTTCAGAAGTATGAATATATTTATATGGATGTATGTTTTATAATTACGCGTACCTCAAAAAATCACTGTAATCATATCATTAATGTGTTCTACAGTGTTGGCAGTGCTTGGAGTTTATACTCTCTACATATTTCTGCACATAATTTACAGTACTTTTTGAAGCCATTTTATTAAAAGGGGAAGAAAAAGGACTTTTTATTATATTTAATGCTATGATCATTTATCTGTATCACCTATGTTGTATTGATATGACATTAGACTGACCACATGATGTAGAAATATGTTACCCAGTATAAGTACAAGGTTGTCGGTCAAGGTTTCCAGGTTTTGTAGTTTCAGGAGTGGTATGTTACCAAGTCCAGTATAAGTACAAGGTTGTCGGTCAAGGTTTCCAGGTTTTGTAGTTTCAGGAGTGATATATGTTACCAAATCTAGTATAAGTACAAGGTTGTCGGTCAAGGTCTCCAGGTTTTGTAATTTCAGGAGTGATATGTTACCAAATCCAGTATAAGTACAAGGTTGTCGGTCAAGGTCTCCAGGTTTTGTAATTTCAGGAGTGATATGTTACCAAATCCAGTATAAGTACAAGGTTGTCGGTCAAGGTCTCCAGGTTTTGTAATTTCAGGAGTGATATGTTACCAAATCCAGTATAAGTACAAGGTTGTCCAGGTTTTGTAGTTTCAGGAGTGGTATCTTAAGAACAGATGTTTGCTACAAGTGGATGGCACATACCTGCCCCACAGACATCCCTAGTGCAATCTGTAGAGCAGCGAATTTGGCAAAATTACATCTATTTGTGTGATTATTGGCCGTTACCTCTGCAGGCATCCATTACCTTGTCATTTGTACTTATTTTGAGAAATCGTTCAATAGCTTTATGTGGTGTTTCCTTTTTTTTCCATATATTTCAGTTTGGTATTTAGATATTTTTATCCTTTTTTTTTATTGAAGAATTTTTGGATGAATCAATTTTGATTGATTGAAATAGATACAAATCCTAGAAAAAACAGAAAGATTGATTCATGGAAGTTTCTAGTGTAAAAAACACAAATAATCTGTAGTTGTATTTCGGTAGATATACATTTATATGTAGGTCTGGTGCAATGTATTTGCAAAAATATTGATAAATGGTCTTAATGCACTATTCTTTAAGCAACTGTTTTCAAGGGTATGCAGACCCTTGACCCAGAAACTGGAGTTGTGTTGATGTAGCAACCTGTCTGGAATTTGACAGATTCTACATTCACTTGCCTGCTAACCCAGATATTGAAGTATCTTACGTAAGAATTGTTTCTTTATTCCCACAGAATCAACATCTGTTCCCGTATGAATGAGCCATGCAGTACACTGGGGCTGGCACAGGTTCCAGGGATCTGTCTCCCACACAAGTCCTGTAACATCAATGAGGACACAGGACTCCCCCTGGCCTATACTGTAGCTCACGAGCTAGGGCACCAGTAAGACCCCCCACCCAAGCAAACACTGTGTCACACAAGCTAGGACACAGGACTCCCCATGGCCTATACTGTAGCTCCCGAGCTAGGACACAAGGAAGACCCCCCCCCCACCCAATCATACGCTGTGACACACATGCTAGGACACAGGGCTCCCCCTGGCCTATACTGTAGCTAACGAGATAGGACACAAGTATGCCCCCCCCACCCAATCATACACTGTGACACACAAGCCAGGACACAGGACTCCCCCTGGCCTATACTGTAGCTCACGAGCTAGGACACAAGTAAGCCCCCCCCACCCAATCATACACTGTGACACACATGCTAGGACACAGGACTCCCCCTGGCCTATACTGTAGCTCACGAGCTNACCCACCCCCACCCCCCACCACCAATACACACACACACCCTGTACCAATATTTCTGTTCAGATTGGACAGGTTTGCAGATAACATAGGTTCAATTTACATTGAAAATGTCTCTCTGTTCAAAACAGAACACAAGCGAGTTATTGTGTCATTGCAAGTGGCAGGTATTAACATGGTTCAGTCCATAAAGCAGGTTCATATATGTTATACATGTGTACTACCCCCTCCTCCAATAGCAGATCAAATATAGGGCATGACCCAGTTTAGGATGCCAGGCCCCTCATTGGTCTGGTACAATTAGAACAGAAATCAGCTCGTTGATGTTAAAGGGCCTTGTCAGCCGCGACAGAAATATGCATCTTGGCACATTTATGTGTGGAAAAAACAACGGGGACAATTCCAATCTGGGGCCACCTACGGTGATAGCATTGATATACTATAGCAGACACATGTTACAAATATTAGAAACCTACATAATGTTGAGCATCTCTCACTAAAAAGTGGAGATATTTCATTTCCTTGATAATATCCTTACCACCTTTCAAGATTACTCTGTATGAGGTTTTTTAATTTTCTTGTATCATGCCACATTTAATTATAATGTGTAATATAAACTAGATGTATACAGGTACGCTGCAGGAACTTGTACCTTATACTCAGACAGGAAATCCTACCATAAGTCTGGTAATATATATAATTAAATCCCTACACGTTATGTAACATTGTTCAGGTTTCATGTGAAAAAAGGAAAAAACTTACTCAACATTTCATGCAGAAATGTTGTGTGAGGTAATTTGAAAATGATAAAAAATTTCATTATTAGAATTTTTAAAAGGTTATGATCATGCATATAATATTTCTAGTGAATGTATGTAATAACAGCTTATCAACAGTTGAAAAGAATTGATTGTAAGGATATTTTATGCGATAGCATAGGTCAAAGGTCAAGGTCATTATATACATAGAAATATTGTTTATCACAAATTATTTTAGACTTGAAAATTTGAAAAGGATATGATCATGTATATAATATTTCTAGTAAATGTGAATGTATGTAATAACAGTTAATCAACTGCTGGAAAGAATCAGTTATAACAATATTTTTTGCAATGGCATTTTGTCAAAGGCCAAAATCATCATGTGCATAGAATTTTCTTTTTCTTTTTATAAAGTAAAGGTAAGATTTTGTGATGATTTCCAAATCCTACAAACATTCACCAGTATTCTGAGATGTAGTTATAGTATCTAGAGGATAGAATGTCAAGGTCAGCTGATTCTACCTCAAGTGCATTTTGGTGCATTATAAGATAATGGAGTCATTTTATCTTCATTATCAGTGAAAGTGTATTTCCCCGCTGTAAAAGCTTTCATTTCAAATGCTATTTAGCAGGAATATCTTACAGATTCATACAGACTTTGGGTTTCATATTGAAATGATCTCTGTAAAAGTGTGAATCTGTGTAGGTTTACAATACGTTTTTGTGTGAGCTTTTATCACACGGAATGATGGAGGATCTGGTATGGACTATTTCTCACCAGTGATAAAACGTGCTATTAAGATGTCATTATAGGTTTGATAAATCCCTACATTTAGCATCGTATCATGGGAGATAAGCTCAAAATCTTTTCCATATTAATTTTATGATAGAATATGTTATTTGCTCCCAGTGAACTTGTATATTTTGATTATTACAAGACTAACACTTTTAACTGAAAGATCAAATCCTGGCAAAGAATTGACAATCCACTTACAAATCATGTTACTTACCCAACAAAATTGGTATATCCTATAGGAATCTAAAGTTAGTGAAAGTAGACTTCCCTTAATCATTTAAAACTGTATATGGATATGTGGGAATAAATATAATTAGGAAATTGAAACTATAATTTGGGAAATGTAATAAACTTCTGATTTTTGTGGATCATTAGAGATGATCAAATCATATTGTAATCAGTTTTGTGTTAACTTTGAATGAGATGATTTGTGTTAACTTTGAATGAGATGATTTGTGTTAACTTTGAATGAGATGATTTGTGTTAACTTTGGATGAGATGATTTGAAATGTTGGTTAATCTTACTCATTTGTCTGTGATTGGTAGAAACCGCAAGAGGAATTAGACAGGGAAGAAAAAAAATGAAATGTAGAGATAGTCAATCAGCTATAGAGATAAGTTAGCTTTAACTTGTAGGTCGAGTCAGCTCAGCACTGTCAGCATGAGAGCTTGTTTATTTAATAGGATGACATGGAACACACCCAGAAATGTAGGTCTTACCTAGCGAGTTAATTATCCACTTAATTACAACTTAAGTACTTGTAAACAAACTTAGGAGTGTGTAGATCTGTATACTGTGATATTTTAGATGGCTTTTGACTTATGGGTGTGGTTTTTTGACCGATATAAAAGTAATTTTATGTCACATGAATGACTATATGTATTATCAAATAGAAACTGGAGAGAACAACCTTGTAACATGTAAATCAGGTCAAGGGTCAACCCGACTACTTGAGGTCATCTATATATGAGTTAGACATTTCAAGGTCACTTGAGTCACAGTAACCATATGTAAAGTCGTGAGCTGTTTGCAACTCAGATCGCCAATATTTCTCAAGGTGATTCCTTTCAAGGTCACAGGGTCATCCTCCTCAATGCCATATGACCAGTTGTGGGTCAGCATGACCTAATTGAAGGTCATTAGATCAGCAAGACCTCTCAAAGTCATCTGGGTCTGAGGAAGACCTCTCAATGTCACCTGGTTTAGCGAGATCTCTTAAAGAAACTTGGCCTTGGTCAGCCAATGCAAACTTCTCAAGGTCACTGAGTTTAGCCAGACTTTTCAAGGTTACTTTGGTCTTTTGTCACCCTGATGTCTTATTGAAGGTTAGGTAACCCACACAGGTCAACCAGATGTATCAATGTCACCTTGGTCAGTGAATGGATAAGACTTCTTAAGGTCACTGTAGCCTGTAGGTAAGACCTTTTAAGGTCATATTGGCCATTAGGACAATTTGGAGTAAATTAGATAGCCAAACATCTCAAGGTTATATCACTGGTCAGCAACTAAGACCTTACTAGATCACCATGATCATCAGCCACTCTTGTCAAAGTTATATGGGTCGGCCAGGTGTCTGAAGGTGAATCCAGTAAGGATGTGGACATATTTAGATATTTGAAGAACATGCACTAGGTTTCACTGGATATTAAATCCGTATTAATAGGATAGACTTGGGGTAGGCTGTGGGAGGCTGTGATTTAGGACTGGATCTTGTTTACTGTCTGTAAATCACTCCACTGTTGTTAGATACATTTTGGTATTGATTTGTGGAGAGATTCGTTTATATGTTATCCATTGGGATAATGATCCTAGCAGATTCAAATACTGGCAACTAAAACCTTCTATCATAATAATAAGTTAGCAAATCAAGTTTACACAAAACAAATGAGATATACATTACATAAGTACCGTGTGTCTAATAATGTATACCTTCTACTGTCATATATTACCAGCCATGTTCCCATACTTGTATATAAAACAAACATCGCCTTTGTTTTCAGGGTTTATCGAATGGTGCTTATTTTGATTAAGATATTCCTGCAGCATACAAGTCATTAAGTCATATTTGTGAATTAGCACAGGGCTACAATGTAGATTGGAACACTGATGTCTGTACATTTGTACTCTTGTGTACTGTAAGATTATTACTAAGAACACAAATTTTAGTATTTTATTGAAATTTTTGACAGATTAGAGCATTGTTGAATTGGCCCACTTATCATGTATGCAATAGAAAATTATATGGAAAAACTTCAATTGACGCAATCATAAATTAGCAAAAGCGCTAAAATTAGAATACCTAAAATTTGTACGCTTACAGTATGTTGGACACTGAAATATCTGTACAGTGTTGTGTAATGTGAGAGAACACTGAAATATCAGTATAGTATTGTGTGATGATGGTGAAGAATGGTTCAAAGGGATCATAAAGCACTTGTAATGATAGGAATGATGCAACGGCTCAGAGACAGCTATAGTCACAAGGTGTACAGGTTAGCATAGGAATGAGAGGCACAGGGACTATGACAAAAATGTCCGGTTTACAGCCCAAATATCTTGTCAATGTTTCACAGCGACATATGATGTGGAAACAAATTCCACTAGGATGTTATTCCCCAGCTTCATTATGGTCCATTGAGGGAGGTTGTACAACGGTGGGATATGTCTATATACTCCAGGTGGCAGCATTGTCAGTCAACTCGTAATCAGTCTTGTCAGTCGGGAACATTTTACCCATTAACACAATTCATAGGTCTTAACTGCAGGTTGACAACGAAAATAACAGAATGAGGATAAAAATATTGAGTGACAGGATGTTTCTCTGAGTTTAACTGTCATAATGGTGAAACACCTTACAAATATTTTGGCAACAAGACAAGCTATTTTTATATCCACACACACTGCTGAATAAGCAAATGACTTTTTCTTAAGCGGTACTTGAAAGTGCAGATGATTTATGATTCATACATTGTACCTGAAGTCATGTCGGTAAGAAATCTAAACCACCCTAATAAAACACAGAATTACATGTAGGCTGGAAATGAATTTAAAAACTGTTGAAGATTTTCTTCCGACATATGGATTTATGGTGCTATGCAGTGGTAAGATATGAAAATCTGGAAGATAAAAAGCAATCAGGTTTTGAGTTGTGGAGAGCACTAAGCTATATCACACGTGTGATAGACAAATCTGACGAGAATTTGTAGGACCATTCTGGTCTGCACTGTAATCTAGGAGAAGTTATGGCTTGTTGGGTTTAGCTGGATTTGGCAGAGAAAGCAAAACGTAGTCAAATTTATTGTAACCTAAGCTCAGAAGGTTAGATCATAGTTCAAAATATTTATCAACATAAACCACAGCCATCTTACATTGTGCTATCGCCATAGCCACCCTAAGTTGACAGTTGATGCCATCAAACTAACAGTTACGGCCATGCTTCACACATTACTCATTCCATGGATTATATAGGCTTGGATGCAACTCAGTCGCAGTCCTAATCCAGATATCGAAACTCAAGGCTGTCTGAGAATTTGTAATGATTCAGTCATAGGAGGTCAAACGTTTTAGCTCAGGTACTCACAATAAATTGCTGAATTCCTTAACTGCGGAATATAATTAAGATGGCTCAGGAAAGTAAATCTCTTACAGCCATTAACTTTAGGAATATATGTCTGTCTGTAATGCATGAGGTTTGTAGCATATACAAAGTGAGGTGTTTTAATAAGCATTCGCTATATTACCAAGGTATGCCATTTCTTAAGTTTGGCTGTCAAAATGCTTTTAAAGAATAAACCAATTCTTTGTCACGATTCTGTATTAAAATTCCTCCTTTCTTTGTCACATGGCAATATCTCACTTTTAATCTTAGCATTGAACATTCGCCAAAGAGGGGTAGGCAATGGGTTATGTCCCTGGGCCCGGACATCCCAAAGTCTTAAAATTCTCGGCTTAACATTCAGCATTTAGGATAATTGCAGCATATAGTTAACATGTTGTCGAGCTAATGTGACCAGGAAGAATACTCTGTTGGGTGCCTTCATTATTGTATTTCAGTGAGGTAGCACTCTTAGAGTAGCCATCAGATCTGTGCTATTGCAATGAGGCTTATACCGTTACACAAACATACTCTACATCCAGCACACATACACACATACATTGCCCGCATTGAGGCACATCCATAAATGACCTTAGCTGTTAAATGGACACTAAACCATTCAAAACAAAACCAAAAATCTTAAATCCATGTCACTTTCTCATCAGTTTTGTTTGTCAAATTATTTGTGATAATTCCTGATCATATTTCTTTGTTATCTTTCCTAATGACCTTTTCCTTGTTTTTGTTACAATCTTTTTTAACGTTGCCTACTTGTAATTCCTCATGCTAATCCAAGATAACATCTAACAACTTTGCCTAAGTTCCTTGTCATTTAGATATCACCACATAAGCTATAATGTTGGGGTTTGTTGTAGCTTTGGGATGACCCATGACAGTGTTCGGAATGGCTGTGAGATGAAGGACGGAGAGGAGTTCTTTTACGTGATGGCTGCCCAACTGTTGGCCGTCAATGTTCCTATGAAGTGGTCAAGTTGTAGCAGGACAGCCATCACCAAGTTTATTGAGTAAGAGATCTTCATGTAATATTATTGTGTGAAAGTGTTATGCTTATAAAGACATTTCTGGATTAGTAGTTAACCTAATCAGATACCTGTGTGGAAACACTTGGAAATTAGTTTTACTTTTTTTCGGAAAAAAATACTGTTTGAAAATCCAATTTAACAACATGTTAGAAAGTTTGGAACCAGGAAGAATTTAGTTGTGAAAATAAACTAAGTAAAGCTGAAAGCCATTTTGTAATCCATAAGTATCTGTCTTATTTTATTGGTTTTAAAATAAATATCATATTGATGTATTTTTATGCAATTAACTAAACATCATAATATTTTGTATTGGGTTATACATGTTAACCAAAGAAATGTTTCACTTAAGAACTTGAAAATATATCCTGTACATAAATATGTATTTGTTTCCTTTCCTAGTCGTGGCTGGGCGTACTGTTTGGATGATGAGCCTGCCGAATTTCACCATAAGGAATTCCAGTACCCGATTATCCCCCCTGGTACCATGTACGATGCGGACCACCAGTGTCGTCTTGTTTACGGACCTGACGCCATTCTCTGTGAGGGTGTGCAGGTCAGTATGTGTAAAGGACCGTCAGTCTTGAGCAGATATTACACACCATAGCAAAGGTCTTTTACCGCATCTACTACTGGAATCTTTACATAAGTAAAATGTATTGTAACAACTGTATTTAATACTCTCCTAACTATAAAATATCTTATGGTCGAGACCTTAAGCAACATATTCCTGATGAGTTTTCTAGATGATGCAGTTTTTGCTAACCTTTGTTTCAGGAGGAGATGTGTAGTACGTTGTGGTGTCGTTACAAGAATAAGTGTACCACCAAACTAGAGGCTGCAGCAGAGGGAACCGTATGTGGGCAGAACAAGGTAAGTCAAGGTCAAGTAAAGGTATCAAGGTCAAACTTAGAAAAGAAACAATATTTCCTAGGTAACAGTAACCTATTTGAGACAGTGTGTATACAATCTCTACTGATAGGCGAAACATCCCGTGTCGAGTGACATATGAAATTTACAATTTCATCACATCATTGTACAGGTAAACAGTACAAATCGCTCACTTTGTCATAGCTTGACAATGGGACCAGCCGGTCCTGAAACATTGTGACACATTTAATACATATATTGTTTGTGTGTAAAGTAAAACTTTGATACTTATATAATAATATTTTATATTGCTGGTAATTAAAGCAATGGTGATATATTTATGTGGTCTTGGTGGGTTCTCCCACATTTTCTGTCAGAAATATGTTTTATTGGGAAATGCTTTGATCTGATAAAATACAGAACGTAGCAGAATTCTTGGTATGCCACTTTGGGCTGTGACTTTCTACAAATGTAAAATGTCAGTGTTCCTGTGTTGACCTCATGTTGTCACCTTCCATCATTTAAGTCAGCTTGTTTATTTAAATTGTCGAAATTTTCAGAAAGCAGTACAGAAAATAAATATAATTCAATGTGGTGGATTTTAAGTAGAAACATCTGTATAAATGGTGTACCGTAAATACCAGACATTTTTCCTAGCACTTCTGCTTTTCAATGCAGAAATTTTATCTTGTGTCGGATGCATGGGTAAGGTTTGATATTTACTGGAAAATATAACTGTTCGTTCATTATAACCCAACTCTTTTTTATAATATCTGTTGAACTTAAACGTTAATATTCATGTGACTGTTATGAGTGCAGAACTTAAAAATACAAAACCTTTTCTGACATTTAATCGCACATTGAATTAGCCAGTGGCTTAAAATAAAGACGTAGTTCTCCGTTTCTAATTCTTAACAAATTGATTAAAAACATGTATATAATAAAAAGAACTTCTCATAATGTATATAATCGGTTTTACGAGAAGCATTGATTAGTTTTGTAGATATTTTTCATTGATCAGCAAAATGTATGAAACTGATTCCGCCCCTGCTGTAGAAATCTATCCAGTTTTGTTTTGCTGAAAGGCATGAAACCAACTAAGTAGATGTTCATTCACAATGTCACACACTCCTTGATATGCTTATAGAAGTGCGACATATGAAATGTACCTCAATTGAGGGTGTAATGTGATGTGCTAATTGGTACTACAGACTGGTCTGGCAGATCTGAGTGTTTCGACTGTTGATAAGTGAGAAATGGCTGCGATTTGATGAGATGGATTAAGATTTAAACTTCACTATTCACTCTTTTGAAAGTAAATAAAAGGTATTTCATTAAAAGTTGAGAAACTTTGCCGAAAAGTACAAAGACATCATTAAGTTGAGAAATTTTGTGGATTACAATTTTGGTTAAAAGCACAAACACAAGTTCTTTTCAATTAAGGAGTAGCCAAATACACTTAATGCATTGTAACTTTGAACTTTACAAATATGAGCATCAAAGTTGAGTAATAATTTAGTTTTATATCATAGACTCAACTAAACCTGACTTTGTATAAAGATTGTAGATTTGATTTAATATGTTTCTAAACAGCTTTAATAAATGCTCTAACAAGCATTTAAAAAAGATATTAAATTTTATACATTTTTATAAATTCAAACAGTCCTGAAGACTTGAAAGAAAGTTTTTCGTAATACAGAAACGTTTTAGTTTTGCACATTTATTGGTTTTGGAAAAAACATCAAAAGGATAGTCTGCACATAAGTTAGGTAGAGATAAGTATCGTTGGAGTAGCTAGCCTGCTGTCATTACAAGTGTTGGAGGGTGTGCCTCCCCTCGTCCCAGACACTAAACACTATTGGGTTACACACTCGCTATTCCAGCTCTCCACTCCATTCACTTTTTTACAACGTAGATTTGGTCTTTTTGCAGCTTTAGATGTTGGGAATTTGATTCCTGTCAAAAAAAATTTCTTTTCAAAATTCTTTTCAGAAACAGACATGGTTCTGTAGAATGTATTTCTGTAATCACCTATCATCATAGCCATATCGTAAATGTTGTCGGAGTTATTGGAAATGTGATTCTGTACCGTATCTTATCTCTGTGGATTCTGGACTATGTATTACAATACTGCCAGGCAGATTAGTCTGGTCGATTGGTATCTGGCTGATTGGCTGATATAGGTGGTAAGACTATCAGCCAGATGGGTGTTAGTTATAATGCGGACAGATAAACAGTCTTATTTAATACACATATAATGTTTTTTGTGTCCAAAGGCTATTCTTAAAACCAAAAATGGAGAATCTTACTTTTTCCTTTGATTATTTTGTAGTTTTTCTCACAATTAAGTCGCAATACTGGGTAAACTTTTGTGCTGAATTTGTATAAATGTTTATGCTTCATTAGATAATTTGATGGTATCGTAGGTATAAGACCACTCCAAACTCTTTGGCAAGCAATTTATCCGGATTTTGTTCTTCAGCACTAAAAGAGTTATTTCGTATTTTGTAAGGAAGTTCAGTTTGAAATAGGAATATGAAAGTGGGTCCACAGATTAAACAGGAGAATGAATATTTCTAACTACAAACTTTATCAACCAAAAAGTAAATTACAGTATGGGAAATCAAGTTACACGCTGTATTCTATAGATATAGCCTTGTTACTGCTATATGATGTTGGTCTAACGTGTATTCAGTAAGTACATTTCTTTGCCAGTCCTATGTTCTAAGTTATATTTTGAAGATGAGTTATCCTTGTAGTAACCTATACTGAAGTATATTTATATATACTGACCTTTGATTACAGTGGTGTTTCAATGGTGACTGTGTGGAGATCGGTGAGCGCCCCCTGGCCATTAACGGTAACTGGGGAGAGTGGAGTAGCTGGGCGGAATGCAGTCGTTCATGTGGGGCCGGGGTCTCTACAGTGGAGAGACACTGTGAAAACCCTCCGTAAGTCTACATCATATTGTCTGTAGGAAAGTCGTAACACTGTGGTTTCTAGGGCAATCATAGTGCCATGGTTCCTAGGGTTATCTCATTGCAATAGTGTCATTTACTTGAATCTATCAATATTACAAGGGAGACAACCCTGTGAAACCTAAAAGACTGGGTACAGTATGTACATCAGGTCAATCTGTATAATATAAGTTTACCTATTTTCCGATAATTATTTCTTTATTTTGTTGTGCACTGAGCAAATGTTATCCCTTCTATTATTAGGGTTTTGTGGGTGGATGGGTGATGGATGTAGTGTAACCGATATCTGTTTTGTCCTATCTTGTCCTGTCCCAATTTAGTGTCATCACTCTGGCAACTTCCTTTCTTAATGGATTTTGATAAACTCTATACAAAGGTCAAGAATGGGAATACCTTAATGAGACCATATCTCAGGGTTCAAAGGTCATTATTTATAGGAATTTGTCAACCAATTCAGTGACATCTCTCTACCAAAATGATTTCTTAAGGAATTGTGATCAAACTAAATTAATCTGATGAGCAAATATGAGAATAGATTTCCAAGGTCAAGTCCAAGGTCGCTGTTAATATTCATAGAAGTTTGTTAATCAATGACAGTTACTAAGTTTATGTTTTTGTTTTGTTTTATAACTCCTAAACCTTTATATTACAGACCATCCAATGGTGGAAAATACTGTATAGGGGAGAGAAAGCGGTACAGGATCTGTAACACTGATGTAAGTATATAACACTGATGTTAAATTAATGCTCATGTAGATTTTGTTGTGACACACTTTCTGGAATCATATAAAAAGTAAAGATAGACTTTATGCACTTATATTAAAAATAAATAAAAAATAAAATTAAAATAAAGGCAAAGCAAAACTTTGGTTTTTATTGGCTACTCCAGTTTCCTCTAACATTAAGACCCCATGCATGCTAACCTCTTGACAAACAAGAGTGATTAATATAATATAATAATAAAATATAAAAGTTTTTTCATAATTGTTTTAAACTGAATAAAGTTATTATAAAAAAAACAAGAAACTATACTGACATGCTGTAACTATAGGTCATTGGTCCTGATTGTATTATTTTGATATTGCTTTCAGCCATGTCCAGAAAATACCCCTAACTTTATAACAGTGCAGTGCCAAGAGTTCAACTACATTCCGTACCGAAACAAGCTTTACCAATGGGAGCCAGTGGAAATGGATGCAAATGGTATGGAAAAAGGAGAAATAGTACATGTGGAAATATTTTACATAAAATCTATGATACACAACAGTTTGGCTTGATGTCATCCTTTTTAAACTTTGGTTCATATATAGTACTTACTTAAAATATAATAAAAAATAATAATGGAAGTTAAAAGGTTAATTTGTTGTTTTATATATGAGCATAATTTGAAAGATTAACACTACTGGAATGAGGACAGTTGTTACAATAGACATAACGTATCTGTTACAATAACAGATGCTCCGTGCCAGCTACACTGTAAGCCCAAGAACCGCTTCTTCTCCGTACTGCTGTCTGACATGGTGGCTGATGGGACACCCTGCTCACCAGGCAAACGCAACATGTGTATCAGTGGCCGATGTCGGGTAGGTATACCAGTTTAGCGGACAATATTAAGTTGAATGGTGTGTTACATAATCAACTGTATTCTAGAAGTAATTACCAGTCTTATTGATCATCACATTTCCATTCCAAAAAGACAAGTGTCCTTGTTGCACAGATTAAATATCCGTAGAAATTTATACAAGGGACCTTGTTGAAAGTCTATTCTCTACAGGTTTTAAGTTATATAGGGTTCAGTTTAGACTGGAACTTCTAATGTTTAGTAACACTAGAAAAGGACGATTTTTTAAAACTTTGTTATGATGTTAATGGCTATCATTTGTCTTCAGCATGTGAGCTGTGACTGGCAGATAGACTCCGCTGCGAGGGAGGACCGATGTGGGGTTTGTCACGGGGACGGCTCAACCTGCGAAACTGTAAAGGACCAATATAACGAAACTCAGGGATTAGGTGAGTACATCCCTCCGATAAGGTTTTCATTAAAACTCCCTAGATTTGAAATATACAAGATTCCATAATTTAGTAAAATTTTGATTATTTTTTTGTGGATATTCGAGGTGTTTTATCGAAAACTTATGAATAAGAATGAAGAAATTAGATTAATGACTTAAAAAAAGGAGGACTTAATGATCAAAAGAATTCAAAACTGTTAGTATGTAGTTTATTTTGAAATATACAGTAGCTCTGGTTCGTTTGCAGGCTATGTAGAAGCAACTGTGATACCACGGGAGGCGAGGAACATCCGGATAGAGGAGGTGGCGGGGGCCAATAACTACCTCGCCATGCGGGACAACAAGGGCAAGTACCTGCTCAACGGGCACTGGTTCATACAGTGGAGTGGGGACTACGAGATGGCTGGTACCATTGTCCACTACGAACGGGAAGGCAACAAGGAGAAGGTGGAGGCCGTTGGACCGCTCAAAGAACCCATACATGTCATGGTAAGGTTGAACTGTTGAAGGTGATGCATGTTTGTATATGTGACACATGGCGTAGTGTCTAAAGCAGGGAGAACAGATGTATATATCAAATGTTTGAGGTATTAAATATCTTTTTCTTTTAGCGTTCTGATTAGAATTATATAAACAAGTGTTTGGTTTTACATTGTACAGTCATAGTACAGTCTTAATATTACTGAGAATCTGAAGCTTAACTTATCCAGCCCTTGGCTGCCATTCTATAAACAATGTGTTTGTGTCTGCCATTCTGGAACTGTTGTGTAAATTTATTTTGTGCTTTTACCATTCCGTGATCCGACCATCTCTGTTTCCACAGCTCCTTCTCCAGTCACGTAACCCCGGTGTGATATTTGAGTACACGGTTCCTCGGGAGAACATCACGGAGACGAGGGAGTCCGAGTTCAGATGGAAGTATATGGACTGGACACATTGTACATCATCCTGTGGGGGTGGTAAGTAGACACATTGTACATCATCCTGTGGGGGTGGTAAGAAGACACACATTGTACATCATCCTGTGGGGGTGGTAAGAAGACACACATTGTACATCATCCTGTGGGGGTGGTAAGTACAGACACATTTTACATCATCCTGTAGGGGTGGTAAGTAGAGACACATTGTACATCATCCTGGGGGGGTGGAAAGTACAGACACATTGTACATCATCCTGTGGGGGTGGTATGAAGACACACATTGTACATCATCCTGTGGGGGTGGTAAGTCGAGACACATTGTACATCATCCTGTAGGGGTGGTGAGTAGAGACACATTGTACATCATCCTGTGGGGATGGTAAGTAGAAACACATTGTACATCATCCTGTGGGGATGGTAAGTAGAGACACATTGTACAGCATCCTGTGGGGGTGGTAAGTAGAGACACATTGTATATCATCCTGTGGGGGGGGTAAGTAGAGACACATTGTACATCATCCTGTGGGGTGGTAAGTAGACACACATTGAACATCATCCTGTGGGGGTGGTAAGTAGAGACACATTGTATATCATCCTGTGGGGGTGGTAAGTAGAGACACATTGTATATCATCCTGTGGGGGTGGTAAGTAGAGACACATTGTATATCATCCTGTGGGGGTGGTAAGTAGAGACACATTGTATATCATCCTGTGGGGGTGGTAAGTAGAGACACATTGTATATCATCCTGTGGGGGTGGTAAGTAGAGACACATTGTATATCATCCTGTGGGGGTGGTAAGTAGAGACACATTGTACATCATCCCGTGGGGGTGGTAAGTAGAGACACATTGTACATCACCCTGTGGGGGTGGTAAGTAGACACACATTGTACATCATTCTATGGGGGTGGTAAGTAGAGACACATTGTACATCATCCTGTGGGAGTGGTAAGGAGACACACATTGTACATCATCCTGTAGGGGTGGTAAGTAGAGACACATTGTACATCATCCTGTGGGGATGGTTAGTAGAGACACATTGTACATCATCCTGTGGGAGTGGTAAGTAGACACACATTGTACATCATCCTGTAGGGGTGGTAAGTAGAGACACATTGTACATCATCCTGTGGGGGTGGTAAGTAGAGACACATTGTACATCATCCTGTGGGGGTGGTAAGTAGAGACACATTGTACATCATCCTGTGGGGGTGGTAAGTAGAGACACATTGTACATCATCCTGTGGGGGTGGTAAGTAGAGACACATTGTACATCATCCTGTGGGGGTGGTAAGTAGAGACACATTGTACATCATCCTGTGGGGGTGGTAAGTAGAGACACATTGTACATCATCCTGTGGGGGTGGTAAGTAGAGACACATTGTACATCATCCTGTGGGGGTGGTAAGTAGAGACACATTGTACATCATCCTGTGGGGGTGGTAAGTAGAGACACATTGTACATCATCCTGTGGGGGTGGTAAGTAGAGACACATTGTACATCATCCTGTGGGGGTGGTAAGTAGAGACACATTGTACATCATCCTGTGGGGGTGGTAAGTAGAGACACATTGTACATCATCCTGTGGGGGTGGTAAGTAGAGACACATTGTACATCATCCTGTGGGGGTGGTAAGTAGAGACACATTGTACATCATCCTGTGGGGGTGGTAAGTAGAGACACATTGTACATCATCCTGTGGGGATGGTAAGTAGAGACACATTGTACATCATCCTGTGGGGGTGGTAAGTAGAGACACATTGTACATCATCCTGTGGGGATGGTAAGTAGAGACACATTGTACATCATCCTGTGGGGGTGGTAAGTAGAGACACATTGTACATCATCCTGTGGGGATGGTAAGTAGAGACGTGACCTGCTGTATCCCGCTACATCATCATAAGAGGTAACTTTTATTGGGCCCCTACATAATCTGTGTTTCCTACCATAAGTTACTTTTGATTATTTTGACATGCCTTCAATTAACCTATTTGTACACTGTCACCCTTGTTGACCATATTTTGTTTTTTGACTGTTAAGACTACCATGTGGTCATGTATGAGGACTACTTTCGTTCTTCAAGTTGGTGTAACTTAAGATTTATTGTTGTTACAGGAAGCCAGAGGTCACAGGTCGTGTGTGAGGAGCTGGAGGCAGGACTTGTGGAGGACCACTACTGTAACAGTTCCAGCAAACCTGATGATAAACAACGAGCCTGTAACCTACACCTGTGTCCTGCTAAGTAAGTCACTTACACCTGTGTCCAGCTAAGTAAGTCACCTACACCTGTGTCCAGCTAAGTAAGTCACCTAAACCTGTGTCCCGCTAAGTAAGTCACTTACACCTGTGTCCCGCTAAGTAAGTCACTTACACATGTGAACCGGTAAGTAAGTCACTTACACCTGTGTCCCGCTAAGTAAGTCACTTACACCTGTGTCCAGCTAAGTAAGTCACCTAAACCTGTGTCCCGCTAAGTAAGTCACTTACACCTGTGACCCGCTAAGTAAGTCACTTACACCTGTGTCCAGCTAAGTAAGTCAGCTACACCTGTGTCCCGCTAAGTAAGTCACTTACACCTGCGTCCAGCCAAGTAAGTCACCTACACCTGTGTCCCGCTAAGTAAGTCACTTACACCTGCGTCCAGCCAAGTAAGTCACCTACACCTGTGTCCCGCTAAGTAAGTCACTTACACATGTGTCCAGCTAAGTAAGTCACTTACACCTGTGTCCAGCTGAGTATATCACTTACACCTGTGTCCCGCTAAGTAAGTCACTTACACATGTGTCCAGCTAAGTAAGTCACTTACACCTGTGTCCAGCTTAGTAAGTCACACCTGTGTCCGGCTTAGTAAGTCAAAGTTTACTTCCTCTTGTATATGTAACAGAGGCCATTAGATTTTCAAGAATCGAACCTTGGACATCTGGTTTACTAGTATTTTGCTCTACTGAAGTGAAATTCGCCCTAGCCAAGTTGGTAGGAAGCAGCTAGTATTTTGTACCAGGGTAACATATTCTACTACAATGGGTAGGAAAAGCAGTGAGAATCTCAAAGAAACTTCTTTGATTGGCTGAAGCAATGGTCAACCAAATTTGAATTCTTAGAAGGAGTTATACTTATTTTTGGCCAGTAGCTTCTATGCATGAAAGCATGGCATGGCTTCAAAGTTTGAAAAGAAAAACCACATCAATGAGATGAGATCATAAGGCCTCATGGGCTCTTCCACTGTGACATTATATTAAAGATATTCACATAAGAAAGCTAGGAACAAAATGTAGGTTAAAATAGAAGAAAGACAAGATAGAGTTTTTTCCCACATTATTGAAAAGACAAAAATCATTCTACTCTACAGTTTAAATTTGATTCTACAAAACACACTGTGTATTTCATTTTTTTGTGGCTATTTTGAATATATGTACAAAAAATCTATGAATGTTTTATATTGTTACCAGTTCAAACATACCAACAGTCTAAAATTGTTTTAATCAAAAACATAAAATGTTGAAAGAAAGTACCTATGAATACATGATGTGTTGGTTGTTGAAATCTTAACCAATGTTTTACCGTTTTAGATGGTGGGCTGGTGCATGGCAGCATTGCTCCCTCTCTTGTGGTAAGAATGGAGTACACCGCCGGACTGTGATCTGTGTACGGAACTTAGGACTGGATGAACAGATCGCCCTGGAGGACAAAAACTGTATGGATCAGGAGAAGCCGACGGAGATAGAACCATGTCACCACAAGGACCCGTGTCCTGGTACCTCCAACTGGATCATCGGCGAATGGTCACAGGTACAGTCTTCACCTAGGGGCAGTGTTAACGGGTTAGCAGGGAAACTTTAGTTATTGTCGAAGGGAAAAAAACTGATAGAAGACGTTAATTTAGACAATATTGTGAGTTCAGGTAAACCGTTGTTCCTGGATTGTTTCCCTTGCTGTCAGAACAAAACATATGGTAAAATATATCACTGCACAAGTTTCATTTCAGCGTATAGGGAAGAGCAACAATAGGACTTTTTGGAAATGTATTCATCTTTCATTTTGACACTGTATTAATAACATATGAAAGTGAAGGAACAGCAGTGAATATGTATTGAGTTAAACTATTATGGCGATCCTGTTTTTCTTTCAGCTTATTTTTCTTCCTCACATATAACTTTCTTGAAATGGTGCCAAACTTTTGAAGTCGACACTTGAGTTTTTGTAATTTGCAGGTGTAGATATGTTTGTGTAGACCCTGTTTGATGTTTATATTATTGCCTACTTGTTCCCACAGTGTCATGGTAACCCTTGTGAGAAGCAACATCGGTCTGTGTTGTGTGAAGATCCGGAGATTGGCTGTGATGACTCCATCAAACCCAGTCTGGAACAATCCTGTACAAACATAACATGTGGAGTCTGGAGAACAGAACCCTGGTCTGAGGTAAGTGTCAAGGTCACAGTGTCAAGGTCATAGAGTCAAGGTCACAGGTTCAAGGTCATAAACATTTACTTTCTTGTTGCTATTGACTCGAATAAACTCAAATATGATCAAGAGAGCTAATTGTCCAAAGTCGTTTTCATATATCAATTCTAGTAACAATAAAAGGTCAAATACATCTGGTCCTTAACATTTTTGTTAAGGTTTTGGTTACACAATTGATATTTGATATACTTTAATATATCATATAAATATTTATAGGGGAACTTCGTTGAAGTTATACATGAAACCTCTCAAAATTTAAGGAAACATCAAGCAATGTTGAATCAAGGGAACATTTCACAGTTGAGACAAACTTGTAGCTTGAAATGTGCAATACAAGAAGGCCTTGGTATATAAATATTTCTGGATCATACCAAGTTTGTCTTTTTAAGGTTTCTGTAGCATCACTATGTTAAATGCATTTATAACAATGAAGATTTCTTCTAAAGTTATAGTCATTGAGGTATAAAAGTTGAATATTGGTTATGTATATTTGTAGCCGCTACCTACACTCTACATCATTGTAAAGACTTGTTCCTTGTATTACAGTGTACACGGACATGTGGAGGAGGAATGAAGTCTAGACAGGTCCATTGTATCGGGGGATCTATGTGTAATGTAGACGAGGAACCATCCATAAACATGCTTTGTAACAACATAGATTGTCCAATCACAACGACTGTTACAACAACAACAACCACCACGCCTGCCCCGACTACCACTACCACTACAACAATGCGTGTCCCGACTACCACTTCCACAACAATGACGTCTGCCCCGACTACCACTACCATGACAACCACCCCTGCTCCAACTACTACACCAACCACTGCAGCCACCACAAGCCTCCCGACGGCTGCTCCAGAAACCCCCGTCCCCGCCACTAGTAGAGCTAGGGTGCCAACATCAACTCCCAGTATAGCCAGAGATCTGCCTCTCCAAGTGGAGGATGAAGGGACCCTTAGTGTTTTACCATCTGACTCCAATAGACAGGAAGGGGAGAAGTCTGTGGAACCTCCCCTCCAGGCAGGAGACAGTCCCTCTCCCTTCCAGAATGAAGCCGTCAACACAGGAGTTGATGTCAATATACACATATCCAGATCCTCACATCGAGACGGAGATAATGGTGAAGATGTCAATGTAAAGAAAAAAGAGGGGAACCGTGTGATGGAGGGAGGGATAGAGGAAGATGAGGAGGACAATGATATCAGTGATGATGATGAGGGTTATAAAACTCAACCAGAGTCATTAGAAGATCAGCCAATGAAAGAGTCTGAAACAAAAACCCCATCTAGTGAAAATAAACCAATCAACAATCCTGTAACAGATGATAGGTCAAATCCTGAAAATGATGGTGACTCTGGAACCGACAGACATGAAATACCACAGCCAAAAGAAAGTACACCTACACAGGAACGTCGTCCACCACCACCACTACAAGGCAGAAAAACATTCCCTAGAACTGTAGAAACTCCTGACAAAGTTGTAGAAAATTTACTGGATTCAGATGTACCAGAAAGTGCTCCAAAATCACCGTCACGGGGGCATAGACCAAGGTCGAGCTCTGGGGAGAAGAGAATGATGCCTCGACTACCAACAAGGGGAACAGGGAGGGGTGTGGGGGAAAAGATGGCCGTCCGCCCTCTGCCCGACAGACCTATGATAAAGCCAGGACACATGCCCAAGGTCCATAGTGCAGGTTACGAGTGGAAATCAGCTAACTGGACAGAGGTGAGCCAGTTATTACCAACAGTTTTTTTTACCTCAGGATAGTTTTCTTGGTCCCATTGTTTTGCTTTTAACATTGGTTTTAAAAATACATATATTATATTATATGGTTGTAACTCCATGATCTTGTACATGTGTTGAGCCATTGTTCTAATGCCCCTGTTCTTACACATACTTTGTCATTGTTTTGAGTCTTATAACTTTGTACTTTGTCAGTGTTCACGAATGTGTGGAGCGGGAATACAGACCAGAACCATCTTCTGTGTCGACAAGGCCAGTGGAGAGACTGTAGCCAACAGTCGATGTGAGATCCGACACAAACCGAACGCCATTGACCGCTGCAATGTCCACGCCTGCTCCGAGTGGGAGAGTAGTGGTGATTGGAGCTCAGTGAGTAGTACAAATCATATCTGAAGAGGTCAAATATAAATCATTATAATTATGGGTAGTTACAAGGACTAGTGGATAACAGAATCCCACCAAGACAGGGGTGGGGGTTATTCCCTGATAAACTTGGAAAAAAGGTTTGGGGTCATTGTTATATGGGCTTATTGTGGTTACCCTGGTGTCCTTCCACACTAAGACCCCAGAGATGTGCCATTCATGGCAATTTATATATGTCTATAAAATTTTATTCATATTTTTGTTGGTGAATAAATAAATAATTTCTATATGTAAATGGTTTATGTAATGAATATGTTAGCCTGCCTTAAAGAATATGACCGACTGACCAAAGAAAATGGTTTATGTAATGAATGTGTTAGCCTGCCTTAAAGAATATGACCGACTGACCAAGGAAAATGAAAGATACATTTTATCTAACACAATTCAACAATGGTCCAACTTATAGTTCTAAAATTGATTTTGTTGAAAGTAGAAAGTGCTTTCGATAAATTTTACCAAATTTGTCTTTAGATTGAAATAAGTTATAAATAACAATTCTAAAATTAAGCTTTGATTTTATAGTGTTCCGCTACATGTGGTCTGTCAACAAAGATGAGGCTGGTGACATGTCCGAGGGGCCAGGTGTGTGACCCTGACCAAAAACCTGCGGAAACTATGTCGTGCGACCTTCCTGCATGTCTGGCTTGGGTTCATGGCCAGTGGAGTAGGGTAAGTTTTGATACAAGTTACACTTCCTTTTCAGGAATACACGAGAGGGCTAGAGTAGAACATCCACCCACCTGAAATTGGTTTCATTATATTCCTTAGTCCCTAGTTAGTATTATTTCTCTGTGTTCAGAACAATTCATAAAAATTAATAGTAGGTTTCATCGTTTGCGAAAGGTGAAAAAAAAGCCCTGTTGTTATTTATCTGCATACATACCGGGTATTGTATGTTGGTCAGTTTTGCTTCCATTTGAGTCACTTTTGAAACAAAACCGTCCAACAAATTGACATGAAACTTGGAACTTAACAGAGTTTTTTTTGATAGATACATGTATCTCAAGCTTGTAGGGCCTTCATGTTCCCGACTCTATGACAGGGTGCCAGTACAGTACTCCTTCAGAAATAATCCGATCATCTCAGCGTGTGTTTATGTACAAACACAATGTTTATAAGCTATAAACTTTCATCTCTCTGTTGTGATGCAGTGTTCCAAGACGTGTGCCGGTGGAGAACAGGTGCGACTCGTCCAGTGCGTCAACATCACCTCACAGCAGAGGGGTGTCGGCTGTCCCACCCACACCAAACCTGAGGAGAGGCAGCAGTGCAATATAGATCCCTGTCCAGAGAATAACCATGGTTAGTATATATTACTGCATGGAATCTGTACCTGGTGATAAAGTGTTAGTGTCCAAAAAGTAATAAACACCAGTGTCAGAGAAACTTGTCTCATAACGCAGGGCTGATAATCCAAAAATACTTTTTACTATCTCATAATGTAGGGCTGATAATACAAAAATACTTTTTACTATCTCATAACGTAGGGCTTATAAAAAAAACACTCTGTCTTTTAACCTCAGGATGATAATCCAACTACATTTATCTTCATTTCATAACCAAGGAATGATGATGATCTTAGTATATTAAATAAACACCATTATCAGCGAAACTTCTCTTTATCTCCAAACAAATAGTTTAAACATTGGTGATTTACTGGTGTTCCGTTTCCTACCATATATTTTGTTAAAATGAAATGCGGATTATTGAAAAGTAGATAACTACCAGTGAACTGTTTACTGTCTGATTGCAGCTTTGAACAGACATCGTTGTACCAGAGACAAGATGAGCAACCAGATTTGTCGCGCTCTGCGGAGAATGAACCAGTGCTCCAAACTGTATGTCCGTGTCAAGTGTTGTCTAACCTGTAATGTACGGCAGTGGAGACAACGTCACAACCAGCGGCGCACTGCTAGGTAAAACCATAGCAACACGCTCCTTATTGGGGCTGTTTCTACATGTTGACCTTGGAAAAATTCCATTTGGAATGAGAAAGGCGAGGGAGAAATTTTCCTGAACATGATGTAACTTCAAGGAATTGTGATTTGTGCTAAATTTCAAGATGATATGCTGAATTTCTCCCGACAGACAATGCAGTCAATAAATCAAAGACACTTAAGTGTCTGTGTGGAGACAAAGAATGAAAGGCAATATTCAAACATGCACTGATCTTTACACAAAGTGAACTCCATGGTGATGCAGGGGAGACAACTGGTGTTAAAAATAATAGATGTGTGTGTCATGTGATTAGAGATATTGTGTCATGTGACCAGATATGATATGTCATGTGATCAGAGATATTGTATCATGTGACTAGAGATGGTATGTCATGTGATCAGAGAAGGTCCGACAGGTGTTACATGTGGCAAAATATGAAGAAGATTGAACTGTGCCTCTAGCTGCATGCAGCTGTATGTTTGAAAGTCTGGTGAGATGTATTAGGATAACAGATGTGTTCAGGACTTATTCCTAACTCATTGTCTCTGACGCTGTCCCAACAACACCGACTTGCGCTGTCCTACCCTGTCCAGAGTCGCACAAGTGAGAGTCCAATGTGGATTTGTCTGTGATCTTATAAGAACCTAGCTGCTACATAAACCTTAAGCCACTTGTGTCTGGTATATATTGACCTTTTCAGATCTTGGTCCAGCAGGACCTATCAGACGGATTCTCCACGTACTAACTGAGATCTCGGTCCAGCAGTTCTATAAGACTGATTCTACACGTACTTACTGAGATCTCGGTCCAGCAGTTCCTATAAGACTGATTATACACGTACTTACTGAGATCTCGGTCCAGCAGTTCCTATAAGACTGATTCTACACGTACTTACTGAGATCTCGGTCCAGCAGTTCCTATCAGACGTGTAAAACTGTCTACTGTTTTCATGTAACTACCAACTGGTGTGATGACTATAACATATTGGCCGAATTACGTGTGTGATTTTATAGTAATAAACATTGATGGCTGTAGATGTATTGACATGTACTTGATGGAGACTTGCTTAGTACTGCAATGGTGACAACCTGTTGCTGTACACATTAAGTCATATACAAGGTGCTGTGTTGGACTGGAATGTGATAAAGATGTACTATAGTCTGTTAGGTGTAGAACGATATATTAGATACCCACTGATCAATGACCTATTACGTTATGTATGTGTACCCCAGGTCAGGGTGTTACACCTGCTGTGTCACTTGTTGAGGTTTTCCCACTATATATATATATAACAGATTTAATAATTTGTTACTTGAGCTGCATAGGGATCTCTGTACATACTAGATTGTCTGATGTTATTGTATGTCTAGATTTTATACACATGTATAGCATCTTAACTTGGTACATTATTATCAAAGAAGGATAGCTTTTATTATTGAATAATATATGTAAAATATATATGTAACCATGTTGATTTGTCAGATGCACTTGGTCAAATTAACATATTTATTTATCGTTCTTATGTGACAATCTGTGAAGTTTGGTTGTTAATGAATATTGAGAAAATCTTCTCTTCACTCGAAGAAACTTGTTTTTATGATTTCTTTTAATATGTGTAAAATAATGAATCTTTTAATGAAGGGAGAGAAAGATATAATGATGTAAAATTTGTTGTGTACTCATTGCTGTAAGTTTGTTTTGGGAGTCCTTGGTCAGTATTTTCTTCATTATTTCCCCATTAATATATTTATACTGTATAACTGTAATACTATAGACAAGTCCAGCAATCCTTTGTTTCTTATGTCCTTTGTTAAATTACCTGTATTCTGTTTATCTATTCTGAAGAACTGTGTTATTTATTCTAATACATAAACACCTTAACATAGACAGTCCCAGCACTCTGTGTAGAATATCTCCCAAACTGATGAGTTTCAATTATATTGATATTTTTCTGGCATTGCTTGCTTTGGCCATCTACCAAAGCAACAAGTTTTAATATACAAAAGAATTATATTTATTATGACGATTTTCTTCTCCACAAAACAAAAACTGTCACTAAAGCAATTTGATTGCCGGATCTTTCAATTGTAAAGCAGGGAGCTCTTCCACAGCGCTTCCCTTAATAATATATAATATGCTCATACTTTTCTGCAACATTACTGGGACTAATACTTTCATAATATTCCAACTCTCTAAAAGGATTCAAACCTAATAACTTGTATGAATACTGTGGAAATATCATAATTTTAACAAGGAAATATGTATTCAGGTTCTGTGTACAGTAAGTATATATTCAGGGTCTAGAGTGTACAGTAAGTATGTATTCAGGGTCTAGAGTGTACAGTAAGAAGTGGTGGACCTCCTCTGTATGTTTAAAAGCTAGAAAATAATACCGTAAAAACCCATGTAATTTGCGCACCTGTGTAATTTGCGCACCTGTGTAATTTGCGCAGGTACTTTTTGAGGCTGAAAATCGGGAAAAAAGCTTCTACTCGAATATTTTGCGCACCCAAAAAACTCGAAAAAAACGATGTTCATGCTCCGAAAATTGATCTCTGAATATATTTTTTTAAAAATATATTTCTATGATTTTTTTTATCATTGATGTAAAATGATATTTAAAACCAAGAGGAAACTTCGTAAAATGTGTAATTTGTTGCTTGTTTTCTTTAAATTATCTGATCACACATGACACACACGTGTGCGCATATCGGCATACATCAATTCATTTTAGCAATATTTTACATAAAACATTTACTTGCTTACAAAAACATATCAATTAATAAGTAATTCGATGTTTAGTAACCGCTGGTGCATATCTCCTGGTGAAAGACATAATTAGATACCTTTTATTGATCATAATTACGATCAGTGAGAAGGGCTCATCATGGCGGCTTGGGTTACGTCACTTCAAACCAGGTCATGTCACAGTTCAGTTTGGCCACGGAATTAGATTATCTAAGTCCGTGGTTTGGCGATATTTTTTACAAATTACAATGCAGTAATTAGCTAACACTATCTCTGTGATTACCCGTTAACAATAGCTCTACTAATTGAAATGATTTGCAGTCGCGATCGACGGACCGTGTTGTTGTTTTTTCACTCACCAACACGTGGCGTGAATTACGAAGCCCTACTGCATTGTCATAACAACAGACTGATTTGACTGATAAGGGATTATAAAAAATATGTTTATACTAGAAGCGTGGACAATCAATACATCCTCTTCAAATCTACTCCAAGGAAAAAAATAGTTAACGCAGACTATTTTTACGATGCTTCATTTAATAAATATTGAAATAATTCACGAGGTTATTATCAATCACGTGTTTACGTAATGTTAGACGCGAGATCAACATGAAAGTGAGCCGGGAAAAAAACATGCTATACGTTTACGTATAGGCGATTTGAAAAAACCTTACAGAACTTACATGGAACGGAGCTTAAATTGAACAACTACATTTTCGTATTAGTATGGGGAAACGCACCGAGATGACGAAACGTTATGTCGTAAGTTGATCGGCGATTTTCTGGCATAGGAATTTGGCTACACATTTTTTGTTAACGGTTACCTATTTAATAATACTTTTCACATAACTCACATACCAACACATTATGTATCTTTTATTAATGTTTGACATAAATAAATTTGTTGACCGTCATTTGTCTTAGAGTTCCGTGTACCAAGGGAAATAATCCAAGATGGCGATCTCCCAGAATCGTCTATCTTTTCCTGAAAAAAACTTGAAATTTTCTATACCTGTGTATTTTACGCACCCCCCACTTTGGGTATTAAATTTCTGAAAAAAAGTGCGCAAATTACATGGGGTTTTACGGTATATATATAGTTGGCGATTACTATAAACAAGATTTGATGTGTAAAGGGAGGTAACTCCGACAACTGTATGGAAAAGTTAACACCATCTCAATTATATACATTGTACATGATAACATCCAGATCTCCAGGTAACAGCTCAAAGATTATTTTTCATGATAAATTAACCTGTTTATAAACACCAGCTGACTGTATGAATTGTCTGCCCAGAAAGACCATCTGTTAATATATTTATGTTGTACATGATCCACATACAAGTAGCTTTCTGTCTTATAAATCCTGGTCATGTATGCATAACTCATTTGCCTTGAAAGAGATACACTATAGTTATGGTTCACCTATCTAGAAGTATCACTGAGATTGTCATGTGTATGGTTGACCTGTCTAACAGAACCCCTAGCTTGTATTGTTTATCTGCCCAAGTAGACCACCTATATATATGTTTGTAAAGCTTGGTTGGTAGCTTGATTATCTAGATTGTGTCTGCCTAGATAGGACTTCTATGTATACATTGTATATAATAATTTACCTGTATAGAAGGACCTCTTGTTTGTATAGTGTACCTTGCAAGTAGGACATACATTGTACATGCCTCCTTACCTGTATAGAAGGACCTCTTGTTCGTATGGTTTACCTTGCAAGTAGGACATACATTATACATGTATGTTTGCCTGTATAGAAAGACCTCTTGTTTGTATAACTTACCTTGCGAGTAGGACTTGTACATGTATGTTTACCCGTATAGAAGGACCTCTTGTTTGTATGGTTTACCTTGCTAGTAGGACATACATTGTACATGTATGCTTACCTGTATAGAAGGACCTCTTGTTTGTATTACTTACCTTGCTAGTAGGACATACATTGTACATGTATGTTTGCCTGTATAGAAAGACCTCTTGTTTGTATAACTTACCTTGCGAGTAGGACTTATACATGTATGTTTACCTGTCTAGAAGGACCTCTTGTTTGTATAGTTTACAAGGCTAGAAGGACCTTTTGTATAAATATATTTATAATATACCTGTCAGTAGAACCTTTCATATGTATGTTTTAACTGTCTAGAATGACCTCTTGTTTGTATAGTTTACAAGGCTAGAAGGACCTTTTGTATAAATATATTTATAATATACCTGTCAGAAGAACCTTTCATATGTATGTTTTAACTGTCTAGAAGGACCACTTGTTTGAATAGTCTTCCTGCCTAGAAGGACCATTTGTCTATGTAATTGAGGACCAGTATAATATGTGCTGCCTGTCTATAGTGCCACCTGTTAAGTATCTCAGCTTATTGTATAACTAGCTGATCACCTGGTTTTGTTTGTCCTGATGATAGAGATACTGGTCTTCCTGCCTGGTCCTCCTACTTCATACTCAGTCCTCTTTTACCTCTATGTACATTTTATATAACTGGTGGAAAATATCATATATACACCTGCCTTGTATTTGTAGCAATATGTGTTATGTACAAACAGGTTGAGAGCAGCTCCAGATATTTCTTCATAGTTTCTATGCTAAAATAGTAACCACTTGATGATGAAATGATGAACAATTTTTTTTATTCAATTTTAACTGTCAATAATAAAAAGAACACAAATTTTGGTGAAACAGTTTTCTTTTTCAATACGTTTCTACATCTGAAAAGGAATTTTTTATTTTAAGAAAAGTCATAAAAGGTGTTTTGTTTAAATAAAAAATTAAGTGGGTAATTTTACTTTCAACATAGAAACCTTATGGTAAAGGTAAGGATCGTCCCTAAACACTGGAGTTGTTCCTGACCTGGTCAAGTTGTCTACAGCTGATGTATGTAGTGCTAACTATAACAGGATTATTTTATATATGACCAGCTTTTAATGAAAGTTTTACTGAATGTTGACCAGTGCCTGGTGGTCAGTGTTGACTACTACATCCCCTGGTCAGTGTTGACCACTACTTCCCCTGGTCAGTGTTGACCACTACATCCCCTGGTCAGTGTTTTGTTAAGCCCTGGTGACTGGTGGTAGAGGATGAACGTTACATGCTTGTTGCTGTATGTTAAAGCAATGTTTTTTCTTTGTTGATATGTCAGAAATGATTTCACATAGTCCATACCTTGTCAATAAACTTTGTAACATGCTCAAAGAAGTACAAGACTGTGTTTTATTTGTTGATGTGTATGATTATACATTATTTTGTAACAGAACCTGCTCCATTTGCTCTGCCTCAATTCTTCGTACTACCGGCATTTTCCAGTGTTCTGTTCTCGTTTGAAGAATAATGTTTGACCTCCAGCTTTCATCAGCAAGGCCAGATTTGATTGAGGCAGGTCCTTTTCTTACTACTGTACCAGTAATCACAAACAGTAACAGTTTTGTTCTTGGGCCAAAGCCACTGAAACAAGCTCCCCACTAAAATATTAAGCTGTATTATCTTAAAGTTTGTAAATTGTCACAGCGACTTCTTAAAGCAAAACATATCTAAACAAATCGGTGTATTGGAAATATTCCTGTTGAGTCTGCCACCACAAACAAGTAGCTCATTTTTCACCTGTAATGCAGAATTGGAGGCGCATGTAGTTCCTTTTGTAGCACTCAATTTTGCACGAGTCCGACAGACATACCGGTGCATGAATGCAGTTGTGAAGGCGACTGTTAGTCTCCATCATACAGCTGTACACTTCAGTGAACACCAGGTACTGGGCGGACGTCAGACAGACGACACAGGCCAACAGCAGCAACAACATCGGGGCGCGGGCCATCTGTAATATAACTTACACATACAAAATTGTCATCGGCAAAGTGCAACGGAAATATAACTGTCATCGGAAAACCCAAAGAAAACTCAAATTAATTTCATCAGTATGATAGCCTATAATACTCTATATACACATGCAAGCCACTTCAATTAGTAAATATTTACACGTTCTATTAGGGGAAAATTGCATTAGCTTATGTGAGTGTCTTTTGATTCAAGGAGTAATATAGTTTACCAGAGAATTGCAGGATCCGTAGCAAATCTTCATTTCTAGCAAGAGTATAATTTGCAATTGGGTGAGAATCCCAACTGTTTCTTTTTTATGAACCAGGAAACAGTTCATAGGGTCGGGAGCCCCGTATCAATCTTAATATGAATGTATTCGTCTCTTCAAACCAAACAATTGTATATATGTTTATAGGGTGGGGCTCTCAACAGTTTCAATTTTGTCACTCGGGGACAAAGTCTGGTGGGGCGGGGCAGGATCCAAAGGCCAAATCTGTTAGCATGGGTGTTTCCATATTTTCGTGCACACTACGTGCGTTAGTAGTTATATGATAGGGATATGTACATTTATGTAATACAGCTTTACACACAATATTCCTCTAGTGTGACCCTTCCCTCTAGCTCCAGAGGCCGCAGTTCTAGTAGGTCCCCTAACTGTCAAAAAAATCAGATCGAGGTCCGTCCACGACTGTTACTATTACATAGGGATATGCTATTATTACTATACACATTACTACGTAAATGTTACATGATGCTTTATTGAAATGATAATAAAGGATTTTCAACTTTTCGCGTTCTTTCTACACAGGGGTGAAACAGTGAACTGTTTTCATTCAAAATGTTATATGCGCAATAAATGTGTCCGTTGTATTTCCCGGTTTTTCTGTTGGTGCAAGGTAAGCCCGTTTTGAAACAGAAATCAGTACTCTTAGTTAAAGGGATTTCCATGAACAATTGTTGCACTTTTTGAGGATTTAAATACGAAATGTTATTGGTACTTATACTGTAAAAAATGTACATCGACAGTCACTGCATGTTTATCTACTTTCAGGTGTTGCTCATCAGTTTGTTTCATTGTTGTTTTGAGAATTTTAATATTTGACGTTTTGATCGTTTGACATGATAATAATAATAATAATAATAATAATAATAATAATTCAAGGTTTTTATATACCGCTTTATCACAACCTAGTGCGTGGGGTCGTCTCAAAACGGTTCACAATTCATTATTCGTGGTTATAGGGCCTTTGCAACCAGCCAATATCTTTCTCAACTCCATTGGGGAGCACACAGCCGGTGCTGCCATTTCGGTGCTCACAGCTTGCATTCTACAATTCTAGCACTGCTCAACCACGTGCTTATTTACAGCTGAGTACACTGGAACAAAGGAGTCAAGTATCATGCTCAAAGATACAACACAGTGCCGTGCCGTGACTCGAACCCGCAACCCTTCGGTCACGAGCCCGGCGTCCTACCACTAGACTACCGTGCCTCCAACTGTACGGATCTAAGCGTGCTACAAGAAAGGTGGTTTGAGAACATGCAGAATCCATGCTTGAGCATGAGAACGGTTTCATTAATACGACCCTGGAGAACTTAAACTCTGGGCCTAGTGGCCCGGAGCTTTGGAAACAGTTTTCTAGGTCTTCCCTATCGCATGGCCCCACAATACTGCGAGGAAACAACTGTATGCTCTTCACTTTGGTGCAAGCAAATAGATTACTGATGATTTTCAATGTAAAGTATACAATGACTTTCAGACTTATTTATAGTTCTTTTATTTTTTTCAGTATGTTTTATTTTGCACGGTAATAAACTGAAACACGCTGTCCAAAGTATTTCTACATATATACAAAGGCTACCCAGATTAACACCAAACCGTCCCACATATTCACCGGAGCACGTCCATACTTAATTTTGAAACAAAAAGACAATACTGACATTGAATCGTGAAAAGAGAAGTCCCGTTTTGGAGTAGTTGGACATTTTAAATGTTCCATTTAAATCCTCTATGATTATTGCTACAGATACCCATAATACAACGTACTTTGCTATATAATTCAGCTTCCAGACACGTCCCGGAACTAACCGCGTACACAGGGAAGTTATCAAACATCGTGTAAATGTTTTTTTTCTAACTACCATTCTATAAAAACATTTCTATATAAAAAAAGAAATCATAAGCGACCAGCAACCTGTATACTTTGAATGTTACCTTATCAATGTATTTGTTTCCACTGAATCCGTCTACTGTCGTCTGGAGATGTGCGGCTCCTCGTACCTAAGGTCCGGACTATAGAGTGGAGTAGAACTGGCCGTACACGTATTATACTCTAGCCCTGGCAGTCTAAGTCTCGCCTCTGGGTCCATCAGCTGTTTCAGTCATTCCTACATTTGATATTACAAACGTGGCAGACTTTGACGTTTTAATAGCAGACATAAATTTAACCACGAAAAACCCCCTAAAAACAATCCTATAAACACTGTTTTGTTTGTCACGGATTCGCAGGATGGGAGCAAACAGGATATTAAGTGTAAAAACACCAGTATTTTATAATCTGTGAACTGTCAATGGGATCAGACATTAGGCGTTGTGTCCTCAGACACATAGCTGACTTGTAAGCAAATACGCAGTTATAGGCACATCAAAAATCCTCAGATTTACGATTTAATTTCTGATTGTTGTTTATGGTCCAAAATAGTGATTTAATTTAAAAGTTTGAATGGTTAAAAATATTAAATTTCGACAGTCTTTGTACATTAGAATAAACCTTAGATTTCAATTACGACAGACAACCCTGGAGAACTGGGTGGCGATTTTATCATTGGGTAATTTTATGCAATATTCTTTTTTAATAATATCAACAGCAGCAGTTCTGCTTTAAAAAAAAGAAGAAATATCGTATGAACAAAACTCTCAAATATTGCTCCCAAAAGCCACCAGTTTAACACCACAAAGCTTCTAGAATTTAGTTTTTTTCCGGAGAGAGGTGAGGAGGGCTGGATGATCCACTTTGCGTGCACATCATTTGCAGTCCAGCTATACATGCGCCAGATCGTAAAACAATTTTAAATTGTATGGTAAAAATCTGTTACAATATCGTTTGCGTACATAGAAATCTGTATTTTTAGCACCAAAGTCAAACGTCAGACTGCCCGCCATTGTTTTTTTACAGCAGTTTAATAGACAGCATGGTATTTATATACAGGGGATGACCCTATTGTATTTATATACAGGGGATGACCCTATTGTATTTATATATAGGGGATGACCCTAGTGTATTTATATACAGGGGATGACCCTAGTGTATTTATATACAGGGGATGACCCTAGTGTATTTATATATAGGGGATGACCCTATTGTATTTATATACAGGGAAAGTTCCTATTGTATTTATACATATAGGGGATGACCCTAGTGTATTTATATACAGGGGATGACCCTAGTGTATTTATATACAGGGGATGACCCTAGTGTATTTATATATAGGGGATGACCCTAGTGTATTTATATACAGGGGATGACCCTAGTGTATTTATATATAGGGGATGACCCTAGTGTATTTATATACAGGGGATGACCCTAGTGTATTTATATATAGGGGATGACCCTAGTGTATTTATATACAGGGGATGACCCTAGTGTATTTATATATAGGGGATGACCCTAGTGTATTTATATACAGGGGATGACCCTAGTGTATTTATATATAGGGGATGACCCTAGTGTATTTATATACAGGGGATGACCCTAGTGTATTTATATATAGGGGATGACCCTAGTGTATTTATATACAGGGGATGACCCTAGTGTATTTATATATAGGGGATGACCCTAGTGTATTTATATACAGGGGATGACCCTAGTGTATTTATATATAGGGGATGACCCTAGTGTATTTATATACAGGGGATGACCCTAGTGTATTTATATATAGGGGATGACCCTAGTGTATTTATATACAGGGGATGACCCTAGTGTATTTATATATAGGGGATGACCCTAGTGTATTTATATACAGGGGATGACCCTAGTGTATTTATATATAGGGGATGACCCTAGTGTATTTATATACAGGGGATGACCCTAGTGTATTTATATATAGGGGATGACCCTAGTGTATTTATATACAGGGGATGACCCTAGTGTATTTATATATAGGGGATGACCCTAGTGTATTTATATACAGGGGATGACCCTAGTGTATTTATATATAGGGGATGACCCTAGTGTATTTATATACAGGGGATGACCCTAGTGTATTTATATATAGGGGATGACCCTAGTGTATTTATATACAGGGGATGACCCTAGTGTATTTATATATAGGGGATGACCCTAGTGTATTTATATACAGGGGATGACCCTAGTGTATTTATATATAGGGGATGACCCTAGTGTATTTATATACAGGGGATGACCCTAGTGTATTTATATATAGGGGATGACCCTAGTGTATTTATATACAGGGGATGACCCTAGTGTATTTATATATAGGGGATGACCCTAGTGTATTTATATACAGGGGATGACCCTAGTGTATTTATATATAGGGGATGACCCTAGTGTATTTATATACAGGGGATGACCCTAGTGTATTTATATATAGGGGATGACCCTAGTGTATTTATATACAGGGGATGACCCTAGTGTATTTATATATAGGGGATGACCCTAGTGTATTTATATACAGGGGATGACCCTAGTGTATTTATATATAGGGGATGACCCTAGTGTATTTATATACAGGGGATGACCCTAGTGTATTTATATATAGGGGATGACCCTAGTGTATTTATATACAGGGGATGACCCTAGTGTATTTATATATAGGGGATGACCCTAGTGTATTTATATACAGGGGATGACCCTAGTGTATTTATATATAGGGGATGACCCTAGTGTATTTATATACAGGGGATGACCCTAGTGTATTTATATATAGGGGATGACCCTAGTGTATTTATATACAGGGGATGACCCTAGTGTATTTATATATAGGGGATGACCCTAGTGTATTTATATACAGGGGATGACCCTAGTGTATTTATATATAGGGGATGACCCTAGTGTATTTATATACAGGGGATGACCCTAGTGTATTTATATATAGGGGATGACCCTAGTGTATTTATATACAGGGGATGACCCTAGTGTATTTATATATAGGGGATGACCCTAGTGTATTTATATACAGGGGATGACCCTAGTGTATTTATATATAGGGGATGACCCTAGTGTATTTATATATAGGGGATGACCCTAGTGTATTTATATACAGGGGATGACCCTAGTGTATTTATATACAGGGGGAGACCCTGGTATATTTATAAACAGGGGATGACCCTATTGTATTTATATACAGGGGATGACCCTATTGTATTTTTATACAGGGGGAGACCATGGTGTATTTATATACAGGGGATGACCCTATTGTATTTATATACAGGGGGAGACCCTGGTGTATTTATAAACAGGGGATGACCCTAGTGTATTTATATACAGGGGATGACCCTATTGTATTTTTATACAGGGGGAGACCCTGGTGTATTTATATACAGGGGATGACCCTATTGTATTTTGAGATTTGCGGTGGTATATCGTGATTATACTGTCGCAATCTAACTCAGTATCTTCATCTTCTTCATTAACAAACTTTTGACTATAATGTAGATCCGAGTTCATGTAAGAGCATGCAACTTTCTCCAGTAATAATGATTGAAAATTGTTAAGAATGTTTCCAAAGTACGAGTTTGTGTTAGAATACGGCCTGGTTTTGTGAAGGCTAATCTGTTAGAAGGAACAGATGTGACCACGTACATTGTACAGATCGCATGTGTACAATCTATCAGCCGTGTCAGTAATGAATCAGCCGTGTCAGTAATGAATCAGCTCCCGGAGTTCTCTTTATGGTTATGTTGTATCCGGCATACATAACGTATCTCATATGTATAACGTTAGACTGGCTACCAGTTTTTACTTCTAGCTTATCTCCCCCTAGTTTAGAACTTCTAGAGTCAGACATCTAAGTGATCAAACACTTTGGAGTTTATTTTGTTTCTAAATGATTCAATATTCTAGAGACGCTAATTTTCAAAAGAAAAGCTTTTCCTTCTTTTTTTTTTTTTTTACTGAACGAAAACAATCAATACTAGCCTGTGAAACGTCTTGTATGCTTCTGATTAATGCAAATTAGTATTCATATACGACTTGCCAAGTCATGTAGGGGACCAAATCTCTATAATGCAGAATCGGGAACCGTCGGCACTTTCCGTAAACGAGCACACGGAAAGTGCCGACGGTTCCCGATTGTATCATGCACACATCCATACTCATATTTCAACAGTAAGATTCAGAGGCTGCAACAAGCCTGTTTAATATTTACCTTCCATTGCATTTTCCGAGGGTGCTATGCTATCATAATACTGGCGTCATGGCAATGTGCTTACTTTTGGAGTAAAACACAAAACCACAAGGGAAGGTGACCAAAGGACCCACGTTCGTTAACTTTGCCCGAGTAGAACAGGTGAAGCAAATAACAGAGCCGGTATTCAGGCAATAGAAGGTAACTGGTTTATAAGGGCGAATCTACAAGAAGACTTTTGATCTCGGAGGAGATAGCAATTACCAAACAGAAACATGACATTTGTGCTTTGTTTATTTTCTAATTCTTAGTTCAAATGTAGATCGGTAGCTGGCGGAGTACAACGAGTACTAGTATGTTAAGCATCGGCGTGGTTCCATTTGGAGTCTGTTGAAAAGCTCTAACTAAGAGTGGATTTGCAAAAGAACAATCGGCAGAAGAGAGTTTGTTCTATAAGGAATTCATTCGAGCTCTAACGCAGAAATTGAGGACCGCAAACAAAGCCGAGAAATATGGCTTATATGTTACAAAACAACCAAGAGAGACTGGAGTGATTGACAACCAAGAGAAGCGGAAAGAGGAAGGACATGATGCAGAAAAGATGAATGGTTATCGGCTACCTGACTGCAACACAAAGCGACACACGCAACATCTTAGGCCTCTCGATTGCCTGCTGACCTCGAACAAACAAAGCTGACAATGATTTTAACAGCAAAAAAGCGATAGAGGTTATCAGAGAGGCAAGAGTAACATCATCGCTTAGCGGCAAAACTGGGCATACACGACCTGACCAAGGCTCAGAATATGAAGAAGACTGGCCGACTGATGGCATTATGCAGATGTACTACATTCCCGCAAGGGGAATCAAAGACACTGGGGCTGTTCCGGGCTATTCCATCGTTCAATTTGGAAAGGAAAGCCTTCTTGGCCAATCTAAAAAGACGTATGACAGATTAAATGCTAAAGGATGACTATATGGATATTGCAGTACAGAAGAGATGAGTCTCAGGTGGTGTCGAGGTAATCAGAAGAGCCAAGGAGGACAAAGGAGTCATCTGGATAGGCCAACGCATACGGGGCATTGACGCACAAGGTGGTGTATCTGAAGATAGAGCAATATTATGTGAAATCTGGAAGATGCTGCAGGGATATACGAGTTTTCAAAATGCGCTTCACTGTTCGAGAATATGGCAATGCATGGAGAAATGGATCGTGACCGGCTGCAAAATTTCGATAATCTTATTTAAAGCAGCAAAGAACTTTGTAGAAAAGTTTGTTGAAAAAACAAGCCGAAGACATTACATGGCATCTGGCAGTGACCGACGAAAGCATTATAGACAACTTGACTAGCAACAAAGACCGGGACGAAGGCAATACCAACCTCAAAAGAAAGAGAAACAGTCATAACATGTGCATTCATTAAGTTCAAACCGACTGAATCTTGGCCCGGTGTTTTGAAGAATGAAAATGTGAAAGACAAAACGAGCAAGGTAGAACAACACACTTCCGAGAGTCTCGGAGAAGCCAGTGAAGTGCTCAAGAACATTCTACAATGATTCATTGACGAGTGTGACAAGCGTAGTTGCAACGTGTAAACAAGGAAATAGATTACAAGAAAGGACAAGAGCGAGCTACCGGGACATTTTAAAGTATAGATCTACCAACACGGAATACCGCAACACTACTACGGCCCGTTTATTGCATCGATGACAGCAGTTTGGAGATAGAGTGGATGATGAGTAGATTGACAAGAACTGCAAGAGGAAAGTGGGGAAGGAGGGCTTAAGGTGAATACCAAAAGGAAATACATACCATCCAAGGCGGCAATATTCTGCTTCAAGTTTTAACAATGGGGATATCATAGTGATAGTAGCATCAGACACTTGCAAAGGTTCGGGAGGACAACAAAGCCGAAGTGGAACACAGCAGAAAAGGACAGTGTAAGCGCTGTAGGAATGGATCAACAAGGAAGCAGGCTGAAATGATAACTGACCTCGATTAAAGGAATTTCTTTGAGCGGCATTTGGACCACGGAAGAACGTCGCATTCGATCCCCGCTTGGTGTATGCTATACCAAGAACAGCGAAGTTGACACACATTTATCTTCCTGTTTGGTGGCATCGAACGATAGATTTGGCTATGACAAGATGTTGTCTCGCACCTCAGACAGAGATATCCAACGTCATACCCCATGCTAGATTTTTCTATCTCGTCCGATCTGTCTTGTACCTTTACGTGACATTTCGCGGATTTGTTACACTGCGATGTACTCATCCGCGCGTTAACTGCTTGAAATTGACAAATTGCATTATAAATGATCTGTTTTGTCGTTATATGTATAGTTTTAATGTTGTTAGATATTTGATGTTCTAGATCAAATATAATCTACACTGTGAAATACGTTGTAATCTATGTAAGGACGGACTACATTTTTACGCGGAAGCATTCAAATGTAGCTTTAGTAGTGAAGGGATCATTATAATTTGAGGCCCAAGGCGGGATACTTGTAGTTTTAGCAAAATTCAATAGTTCTTTTCGAACTAAAAGGTGCGAGAAAAAAACCCAATTACCTGTAACTGAGCGAGATCGGGTTATCTCAGTCTCTGGTTAAGATTCTGTAACATCCCGACCTCGGCTTACGCCTCGGTTGGGATTTTGTTGCAGAATCTTAACCCTCGACTGAGATAACCCTATCTCGCTCAGTTACAGGTAAAAGATTTTTATTAGTCTGTGCTGGCAGACACATTGAAGAGAAAAAAAACAGACAAAGGAAGGTGACTACAAAGACATAGTTCGTCAACATCTTCAGAGCAGAACAGGTGAGGAGAACGAGAACGGAGAAGGGGACATGCATTCTGACAACAGAATGGGACTAGTGTATACAAGCGGATCTACATGGACTACATGTATCTGAGTTTTCAAGAAGATATCGCACTTACCGAACAGATATGACGTTTTGTAATACCCTCTACACCAAATAGGTCATCTTGATGGAGCTGACAATGCACTGAGAAAAGAGTATGGAATAACACCAAATGAGAGAAGGCAAAATCCAGGAATAGCTGGACGAATGTCAGCAGAAGGGATGACAAGTTTGTTTAACAGTGAAAGCAGGATACAAAGTTTGCAGGGTAGTACTTATGGGGAGCCATGAGAATCACACGCTCGTTCGAAGGGACAAGAAGCAGCTAAATTGTGGAGTGAGAAGGCAAACAAAGGCAGTGTTAAAGTTGCTTTGGAGGATGCGGTCAGTGGCAATCACATAAACTGTAGTGCGTGTACCCAGATGCTGTATGTTAATAACTAGTGTCAATAAGATATCAGCCGTACATGGAGACACCACCTATAATGTAGACGGTTCCCGGCTGGGAATTGATCAACCAAGTCGGCACATCTTAGGAGGTAATTGTAGTGGACCGTGTGAACCTACTGAATGGGGATTTTGTCTTGATGAAGGAAAACCGACTCTCATCATAATTATGTACTATGTAGAAGCACGAAAGAAACTTCTTTTAAATTCATAACTGCGTGTTACCTCTGGACAGCGTCATATCCCAGTTATTTCAAAGCAAGCTGTATTCCAAGGGCAAAACAGTGCAATGCTGGCCAGACTTCAATTTTTGAATATTGCCTCTTGAAATTTTATTATCTTTGCAACATGATTACATAACTTAATAATATATCATGTACCTGGGTATAACAGATAATTCACAGAGAAACTGTTTTTTGAGTAGTTTACAAAATATATCTGAGGTTTGTATGTGTAAGTGATGTTTTCTGTTTGCTCTCGACATATACATGTAGCTATCAGTATTTCAGTGTAAAATGTGAATGAAAATAAATCATCACATGAATGCGATTTCCTTGCCACTCCCGGTAGGTACATGGCCTTAATGCTTAACACAGAGAGAAAGGTCTATAATATAATTTTATTACTGAAGTTGTATTTTATACATTGAAATGACACATAGACTTTTCTGCTATAGTCCAAAATGTTCAGTTAAATGTTCTTACATGACTACATAATGGACTGACACAGTCGGGGTGGGATTTCCTTTCCTTGCTAACTCTACCTTTTGAAGAACGAGTCTATACATTGTGTCTTGGCTACAGAAGGTCCACTGTTGACTCTCTTCCTTTTCACAGCTTGTGGAGATGGCACTGTTCCACTGGCCAGTCTAAAACATGAACAATTCATAATTTTAATGCATATCATACATCACATCGTACATGAAATCAATATGTTTTTTCCTTCAGTCTTTCTTTCAGCCGTCTGTTATTTAAAGCATGTACATTTTTATGTATTTATCGTAACATTGGCAGAATTCTTTGAAATTGGCCGCGGTGGCCAAGTGGTTAAGGCATCTGACATTCTGCTACCACTAGCACTTCACCACTGGGTCGCGGGTTTGAGACCTACATGGGGCAGTCACCAGGTACTGGCCGTAGGTCGGTGAATTTCACATGGTACTCTGGCTTTCCTCCACCACCAAAACCTGGCACGTCCTTAAATGATCATAGTTGTTAATAGGACGTCAAACACAAACAAACAAACTTTGAATCAATACCAAGCATTAACAATGTGAAACCAAGACTTGTCATAAATATTACTCTTCGTTGTTAGAAAAGTTCTTTTAAAAGTTCTCTCAATACAAATGTAAGAGTGTATGATCTCCCCAGAACAATATTATTTAGGTATTTGCCTCACCCCTCCTTCTGATTAAATACCTACCTGGGCATGTAAAAGTATTGTTAGATGTAAGGTTCGACCTTCAGTTAAATACTGTATACCAGGAAATTTTCGATTTTTTCACCTTCAGCAATAATGGCTAATTTATCATGATAATGAATATAAGTACACATACCATATATTGTAAATACATTGGAGGTTCGAAATTATCACTGGGCTAATATTACTTTTAACAGGTATATTATATAGAAGAGTGTATGGTCAGCCGTCATCTTTAAACAGTTATATTACATAGAATGTATGGTTTGACCCTCACCGTTTAGTGTTGCCTCTCTGCTCCTGTAACATCTGTGTAATGGTACCCTTAGATAGACACACATCTACATGAGTGTTAAACCCATCCAGACTCGTCCCGGTCTGCTCCATAAAACAAACAGGACAAACCATTTTCTGAGTGTTTGTCAATACCTCTGTCTGGGATATGGAGGCCATGTTTGTCCCTGAACTTTGTATCTGGTCACTGGTCACTTTTACCATGGATACTGCATCAAGTCCAGTCAATGTTTTATAAGAACTGATGTCCTGGGCTTCACTCCCTGCAGCAGATTTGTCATTTTTACAACTAACACCTATTTTAGGACTGCTTGGTTGTGACATTTTTGGTTTTGGTTTCTGTGTGGATGGAGAACCAGACAATTTCCTGACTGTAGTTCTTTTCTTCAAAGAATTTGGAGTTTTTGACAGTTTTGTTTTTTTGTCTTCCTCAGGACGATACCTAGAGCAATCCATGACTACCTTCTTGTTCAGACAGATGTCAATGTGTTTATTAAATTCTGATAAGTCATCACACACAACCTCCTCTCGACACACTGGGCAGTCATAGGGTTTGGGATTGTCTGCCCTTTGTATAAGATAGTCTACCCTTTGTATGGGATTGTCTGCCCTTTGTATAAGATAGTCTGCCCTTTGTATGGGATTGTCTGCCCTTTGTATGGGATTGTCTGCCCTTTGTATGGGATTGTCTGCCCTTTGTATGGGGTTGTCTCCCATAAGAGATTCGTGTAGGTTTTCCTCTTTATCTGCACTTTCACAGTTGTGACTGGCTGGGTCCCACAACAAAGCATCATTAGCACCTTTTCTAAAATCTCCATTTGTTTTCTTGTCATCAACCTTTTCAATGACATTTGGAATTTCGGCTACATTAGTCAAATTTGAAGATTCCGTACAAGATTTATCATCCAAGTTTTCAGATTTCACCAAATTCTTGGAATTCTTAGAAACAGTTGATGTGATGACATCATCAGGTTCTAGGTCTGCTGCGTTTGAATTTTTCTCATATCCTGAATCCTCTATTGTCTGAAATTCAGGCCCACTTGCAGGCTTTAAAACAGGGGAAGACTGCATGGAACTGACACTTGGAGCTATTTGTTCTGACGAATTGTGACAATCTTGATCAACGATTTTGTTCGGAATAGCATGAGTATCATGACATTGTTTGTTGTCGGAGATGTCAGTATCGGCCATCAAACAAGGTAAAATCTCATCAGGAGTGATTTCCTTTTCTGATTTTAACAGAGTCCTTGACCCACAACTTTTGGTAGAAATGGCGTCCTTGGAGCCAGCACGCCCAAGCTGTTTGACAAATCGTGTCAGAGTGTTTTGCTGTTTCTTTTGACACAGATCTTCATTAAGAAGGGAGGACATCCGAACACCTGAAAATAAAAACATTTCTTGTGCAGTTATTAAAAATATATTACAATGAAACAAAATGGCTCTCAGCATTAGGTCAAACAATAGATAATAATGAACATAATGTATGTTTCCGTTATTTGTTTTGTTTGAGCAGAGCACTTTTTTGACAAGATGAGCAGAAATCGGTTTTGCGGGTGATATAACCCAATTTTTTTCACTTTGTTTAAAGCAAAAATTTACATGGACAAAAATTGCCCAAGGATTCTATTTCAATACAAATTCTTAAAGAAACACCTTGCAAGAAATGCAGAAATGACAACTTAATAGTTAATTGGATGATACAGAAGTAAGACTCAATATTCTAATTTTAGCATAAACAATTAGCATAAGATAAATGGGGTGGGCCCAGCTATGCTCAATATACTAATGAGCCTGCATCTGAGTCGGAGGGATTCAGGCACCACACTCTGTATAACATACCCATGAGCCTAAGCTGGATGGGTTGGGGTGCCACACTCTGTATAACATACCCATGTCCCTGAGTTGGAGTGGGTGGGGCACCACACTCTGTATAACATACCCATGAGCCTGAGTCGGATTGGTTCGGGTGCCACGCTCTTTATTTCAGTCTGTAAGAGTTCCTGGGCTGCAGAGAACACCACTCTGAGGTCTGATGTGTAATCTGGAAGTGTGTGTGCTCGAGTCTTCACTTCATATTTAACTGTCTTCAACTTTATGGCTACTGTCTTACCCTACAACAATTCAGGCTACTGTCTTACCCTACAACAATTCAGGCTACTGTCTTACCCTACAACAATTCAGGCAACTTAATGGCTACTGTCTTACCCTACAACAATTCAGACATTTTTATGATCATATCGAAGACACACAAATTTTCGTAAACGATACACTTAAAGAATACAGGACTGAATTTGAGACTAAATTACCAGATATGAAATGAATGTAGGTATTGAAGATAACAGTCAATCTTACAAATTACCAACGAAGTGTTTCAAACGTCCCATTGATCTTGTCATTTCTGGTCCTATGACTGTTTATCTAACTAAATTTTAGCTGAGACGTATTGACTACCCATGTATATCAATATCATATCAAGGTCTTACGACTTCCATCACTGCTGGTAGATCACATAATTCGTACCATGAGGTTTTCCTCCCTGAGGTCCTCACAGAGGGAAACACAAAGCTCCTGACATTTCTTTACCAGCTCTTCAGGTTTACTGATTTCGCCAAACGTTCTACAGCAGGAAATATTACAAAATATAAGAGTTTGATCTTAAAACTTACAACTCAAAAATTCAGTAATGACTAAAGAAAGACACATTACAAAATTTCATATTTATTACAATCACTACAAAAAAAGAAAGAAACAAAGAACACCTACACTAGTACTCCTGTTGTTCCGTTCAAAGAGCCAACGGTTTTTACTAACATCTCTAATAGCAAGGATACAAATGCATGAACAAATATTTTTTTTGTATTACAATGGACTTTACCCAAAGGTTATCTTTTCATTTTTTTTTCTTTCAAAAATAGTGGAAACTTCCCAAATGTATTTCTCCAATGACAAGTGCTTGTTAAAATAACACAAAGCATATTAAATCAGATGAAGTAAGAAGAAGCCAATATATAAGGCGATAACTAAAGTACCAACCTCTCTGTGCTCATACTCTTTCTGTCACTATCTCTGCAAAATAAAGTTAACAGTCAGGACAACCAGGGTCAAGGAAAATCCTTTCCATTAAAGCAGATACACTTCTTAAGAATGAAAGTTCTTAGTGTAAAAAGTAGATCGAGTGTAATTTCTCAGAATTGTAAACTGATTCATTGCAAACATTACAAACAAGCTACCTGGAGTTATACTGGTAAAGTTACATATTAATAAACATCTTAACATCAATATAAATGTATACAGGATTACGGCTTAACATCTCCATTACAAGGCCAGCAACAAATAGTCTAGCTACCGACCGCTGTAGACGAGAGTCAGAACTTTAACTAAAATGGAAGCCAGGTGACTGCTCGGCAATGTAAAATATACCACCAAGCAATTTTCTCATATATAATTTTACAATCACCAAATGTTTGTTTTACTGAAGCCATTGTCAAATGAATGATGATGAACTTCAACCCTGTAATCCTCTACCTTTCCACGTTGATGGAGCCAATCCCCATACAGATCCTCATAAAGTAGTTAAAGGAGATTGGAGAGTATAGGTGGTACAGCAGTGCCCTCTGGTGGTACAGGTCGGAACAGGTATGGACGTTCAGTGCATTTAGCATCCTCTCACTCACCTTGCCAACCCCGCTGATCTGGATAGGGACACAGTAACAGTCGAAACAATATCATGTTGGTCAATAGTAACTCATCAGCTACGAATAAGTATGTCAAGATAATTTAATACTTTTAAGATGATGGGTGAACATCTAGAAGGTTATAGTTTTGCATGCTCTACATAATTTGAGATAAAGGCAAGCATTTCTGTCACTGTGGTCTGTACAAACATATATAATATACCATGGGTACAACTACAATTGTAACAATGAGAAAATATTGATGTTTTATTAAAGGCTGTGATAAAATATTTTTAAATTAAATTAATTGTTGCACTGCGAATATCATGCTGTTCGCGTATACATGTGCTGTGTACGATCACTGTGCCGTCTACCTGTGTTGTTTTTGTACACGTGAGTAGGTTGTCACATGTCACTTGTCTTGCCTTGTTACGTCCATATAAGGTAATTGTTCTAAATATAGGTGTTACCTCGTTTTCGTTACTGGTCATCAGTCCAGGTGTCTTTGTTACATGTTTTGGCGCGGTTTTTAGTATTCATTCATAGACAGAGCTAAAGGGTGGATGTTATTTATATCCAGAAGTTTGAAGTTTTGAAGTCTTTCTCCAGATCTGGTATGTACACATATAGATGTGACAGTCTTATTCTGTAATTGGTTTATGTTAAATTATTATATTAATGAGATTTTGGATAAAGTAGCATTTATTATATAGTGAAATTGTACTTTTTATAAAATTATCAGAATCTGGATCTCACGTACATGTGTATTCAATCAATACATAGATAGCTCTTTTTTGAAGTAATGTATACATGTTTTTATCAACATGATGTAAACTGTGATTTACGTGTCCCTTTACAGAGATTATAGAGTTTAGTTTTCGATTGAGAACGGATACAGACCTTCATTCTGTGTAAGTCCCCGACCCATAGTTGGGGTAGGTATTTTAATATTGTATATGATAATGTAAACAAGTGCTAATTGATAAGGATAATTGTATTCAATATAATTATGTATAAGTAATTTGTGTAAGTAATTTCAACTATTGATTATGAGTAAGTCAGTCATTGTAAAGTTAAAGTATTATTCCTATTTTTGAATAATCTATTGTGTGTGTAGTATCAAATATGTATGCACTGAATGTACATGTTAGGAATTATATGTAAGCGCTGTGTTTCATTATGTTATGTTGACTTTCATTCAACTTTACACAATGTATGTTAAAAACTTTTCTGTTGTCCATTAATCCAAGCTGCTCCCAACCCTGGGAGGCAACTCTACACTAAACAGCACACCAATAAAGCTAACATTTTGTCTACAGACCCCTCTGATGAGCCACTGTCCTGAGACATATTGTCCACTAGGTGATCTTACCTTCCGTGTGGGTAGATCCCTGATGAAGGTCATCACTGCCTCCCTAGTGGGCGTTATCCTGTACTGACCGTTAGGTTTGTTCTTGTCCGAACACACTTTTGCTAGCATCATATTGGGTGCAATTCCTTGAAAAATTGATACTTCTCATTAACAAAATATTCTGTGAAAATAAATCACTTAATTTTTTTTTTATCATCTAGGATTAACAGTTTCCGTATTGGGTTGTATACCATAACAGTGTTAAGATTTCCTGTTTTATAACCATGACAAAGAGACATTGTTTAACCTGTACTAGCTGTTAGATTGGTTTTATGTGTTACCATGACAATACATTGGCTGAGTTTAATTTGTGTTGTGTTTCATTCATCTAATATACTTGTGCTAGCTGTTAGCCTAGTTACTAACCATGATTCTAACCTACTCTATAACTGTTAGTCAGGTGATATGGTCCTATTATGTAACCATGACAATCAAGTGCTGTCTTACCTGCACTAGCTGTAAGCTTGGTTTTCTGTTCAATCCTTGACCTCATTTCCTGGACAGAATCTTCAACAGAAAGGCCAAAAGTCACAACATCATATGGAGGAAAGGGCTTTCCACAAACTGGACAAAGTCCTTCAGTGTGACGACCTCTACTGGTCAAGGTCACTTCAGAGGTACAAGACAACTGTTCTCCTGGCTCAGTAACAAGATGTTCTGTTGGAATTGTGAGTGTATCTATGTGTTCTCCTTGAGATGTTTTATTGTCTCCTGTGGACAACAATCTAGTGTTTTCCTGCTGCTGATCCCCCGTTCTAGATGTCAGAACAGCATCTCGAGCTGCAGTGTTAACATCACACTGACAGCTGCCATCCTTGTTGTCGGAACTACAGCAGAGAAATGTACGCTCAGCCTCTGAAGATTGAATCCGTTTGTCCAGGTGATCTGTGATGTCTAGGTAAGCCTCGTCTAAACTCATGGGGCAGTAATTAGGGTCATAATCTGCCATGACTGACCGGATCTCTCTACTGACTGCTGTGTACTTCTCAAAGTTTGGTTTGACCATCACCAAGTCTGGACAGAGCTTCTTGCCAATAAAACCTGGCATAGCTGCCCTCACACCAAATTTACGGGCCAGGTAGTTTGAGGTAGACTGAAAAATGAAAAAACAAAATGAAGAGTGGGGCTAGCTCACATAGATATACCCCCACCCAAACCTCCAAAGCTGACAAGTATGACTGTTGACCCTTAAACTCTGACTGATGACCACCAAAATCAAATGAAGTGTAAAACTATATATTCCCATATTATCGTGTAAATACAATCTTGTACATACCCTTTTGACAACAGACAGTAGAGGACACAATGACAAATCAATATCTGTACCCCTTTCCCAAGGTGAGGGTAAAAAAAAACATATTTCTAGTTTTGTATTTATGATAAGCTAAGGGGGACTAGATCTTGTACATAGTACATGAGGTATCAAGCTTAAATTATTCATGTTGCATATCATATACCTGGTAGCTTTGCAGGAATGGTTTTCATTTGTAAAACATATATCATAAGAGGGTGGCGTAACACTCATCATGGGCTTGCCAATTTTACAAGTACACATCCTTGTCACCCATGCAAGTCTCAAACTTGTCTGGAAGGGGACTAACAGGAACATATGACTTTGACATTAGCTAAATTTGATGTATATATGAGACCCTTTAATCAATATGGTGTATAAAACTATTGTATTACTGTACACACCAGCATTGAGTTGCCGCCCACAGCCATAGGTTTGTCCTTCAGACTGGGGTCATCCCTCATCTCAACAGCAGCGTAGAAGGCGTCCATGTCTACATGAACGATGACTCGACTTAAATCTCGCTGACCCTCCAGGTCCTCTAATAGCCGGTCAGCCTGTAAACAAACAATCCTGTAATAATCATCAGATAGTTATGATCAGGGAAACCTATACCTTGATTTCTACTGTGTATCATTGATAACTTCATCATGGTTTGAAAGTTTCAAACAACATGGAAATGAGGCCGGAATGATTTCGTTCAACAAACTTGTAAATTTGTAGTTGCATTTTTCACTAGCACGTAATATATAAAATATGTTTACATTGGTGTAGCCAATCCACTTTACAAACCTACTCAAGGCTGAAATAAGTATTTTAGCCACGGTAGTACATACAGTGTTACGGTTGATTCCCCTTGTGTACCATACCTCGAACACTCCCTGACGGATTTGGATGTCGCCAATCTTTCCAAGTTTTGCCATCTGTTCTTCAATTTTTTTGTTTACCTGTTCTTCCTTCTTCTTTTCATTCTCAAAATACTTGGACCCTATTGGAAGTGAAAGTATAGTTCTCGTTTTGAAAATACATAAAAATCACGAAGGTATATTATTATTAGGAAGTGATAGAATCCTTATAATAACCACGCACGTAGGTATCCCTAACATTTTTTTGACACTTACGAAATTAACTTCAGAGTAAGAAGTATTTTTATTGCAAGGTTTGGCACTTGTCGGTATATTTTACAACAGTCCCACTGGTCTACCTTTATCTGATGTGTCCAGATAAAACACTTATCTGTCAAAATACTTTTTAACAATCGTCAAATTTGATACCTTTTCTTAACTAAGACATCAAAAGTGTTCTAAAATCACAACTAAATTTCACAATTGACTCGTTCAATCAGAGAAATTAGAAAAACAATATATGCCAACTTCGGACCTATATTCAGAGAATGGTTCATATAGATTAATAGTGTACGGCCTGCTGATATCCACACAATGGTTCAGTGTTATCTAATATGGAACCCCTAGACCTTATAATCAGGCAGGACTGAACTCTCCAGTGTCTGGAGGAGAGTACCTATATATCGCTGGGTATCAGGTCTTTGTTTCTATCATCGTTTACTACACCTTTTGAGGCCTCCAGGATGACCTGGTTGATTCTGTCCTTGTCCAGACCCTCCATGCCTGCTTTGTTATCATTAAGGAGCATCCGACTCATCAGGCCTCCACCATCTACCCCAGCACTTGTGGTAACTGTCGTAGGTAACTTTACATTCAAAGTACCGCCAGGATTTGGAGGAGCGACATATCCATCTGTTTATATATGTAAAACAAGAATAAACAAAAGCAATGAAACTTCATTATTATGAACTGAGAAAAATCTTAATTACCCTTTTTGCTCAAAGGAATTCCTAGGTCCTAACTTGTTTCCCTAAGCCCTGTATTATCTTTATTAACGAATGTCTATATCAATTTTTCTTAATAACTGACAAGCTGAATGTACCCTGTAATCCTGCTTTATTCACCATTCCAAGAAACAAAGTAATTTTCTCAACCATTGATTTTGTCTCTTCATGTTATTTTTAATCAATTAGGTGACAAAAACGAGGCTAAAAACCAAACAATTTAATCAAAATTTATGATTTATGTAATAAAAAGAAAAAGACTACCACATAACTGTGGCAGGTATTAAAGTAATTCTTATTGAATGTTTAAAATGAATACTAGTACGGTACAAAGAAAGATCTATGCTTTATAAAATATACAGAATAGCCTGTTACCCTTGGGATGTGGCCGAGACTTGGAGGCCGGCAAGTTTGGATCTTCAGTACATCCCCATGATGTGTCCATCCAATTCTCCTCTTCCTCGTCATCTTCTGTGTCATCATCATAGCCTGGTCCTCCCAACATTGTCTCTGTTGATACCTTTTATATCACTTTCATAATGAAATGTGAAGAGAAAATGTATGGGTTGTCTGGAAAAAAATAAAATGAACATATCGATCAGTTGTAATATTCTATTTATGAACACTGGGAAGAGCTAGAAAACTGTTAAATTTATGTTCAGACATTTAGCCATTCACACTCCAACAATAGGCCAAACCAAATAATGATGTGTGTCTTGCAAATATCAGTTTATTGTAGTTACAAGTATACATGGAGTGTAAATGATTGTATTTTCCTTATACCTTTTGGCCTTCAATCCAAATTTAAACATTAGTAATTACAGGGCCAGAATGGGAATCAAATCTGGAAATCCAAAATCTGCATTGTTTGTGGAGACTGCACCAATTGAGCTACCAGATATCAGCCCAGCGGCGTTACACACATCCAACATTCCCAGCCCCCCCCCCCCCCCCCCCCCCCCCCCCCCNAAGACAACACTATTAACAACCAAAGCTTGCGCTGGTGTACCCCTTACCAAATGAACACCCTATTTGTAGCAATGGTTTTGTTTTATCACCGATAGGAAAAATCTGTCGGGACAAACCTGGGCATGCATATCATTAATGGAGTATGAGAACAATTTCATGAATATTTACCCTGGATTGAAACTTTTTCTGGGTCTTTGGACTGAATTTTAGATACATGTAGTTGCCTTAATCAGCTGAGGTACAAATGTATGAGTCCAAAATAACTGATCATCTTCTGCTTGATTCTGGAGAAGGGTCATGGTTTGGTTTACAGGGTTAACCGTCCTATTACTAGCATGGGTATAATGTATTCATGCATGTGGGTTCCGGGTTGTTTCGCCCGAAATCCTGTTCGCCCTAGGTTGTTTCAACCTAAAACAAAAACTTTAGGGCGAAACATTACCGTCCTGTCTCACTTACCTGCGACTGTTCAAAACTTCTCGAACATGTCATTTGTAAACACCTCCTCACGTACTTAGAAAATAACGACATTCTGACGGAAGTACAACATGGATTTCGAACAAAACATTCTTGTGAAACCCAACTCCTTGTCACAACCCAGGACCTTATTTCCCGATTCGACCAAAAGAAACAAAATGACATGGCTATTTTAGACTTCAGTAAAGCCTTTTGACACGGTCCCGCACTGACATCTTTTGTACAAACTTCACCACCATGGCGTTCATCCCGACATCATTCGCTGGATTTCATCATTCCTGCAGAACAGAACCCAACGTGTACTAGTGGATGGGGAACATTCAGCATCAGCGCAAGTTGAGTCCCCCAAGGGACAGTACTTGGACCACTCCTCTTCCTCTGCCACATCAATGACCTTCCAATAGCAGTGAAATCCACCGTCAGGTTATTCGCAGACGACTGTCTCCTTTATAGAACGATAATTAAGAACTGTTCAGGATCACTAAGACTTTCAAGTGGATTTAAAATCATTGGAACGATGGGCATCAGCGTGGGACATGTCCTTTAACACCAGCAAATGTTACATCATGAGGATCCATCGCTCAAAATCTACATCAGCCTTTCGCTACACTCTCGGTGATACCATACTAGAAGAGCTAACTGACAACACATACCTCGGTATCATCTTCAGCAACACCATGAAATCATCACAAATCACCAAACTTTCCAGTTGTGCCAACTCTACACTGGGATTCCTTTGGAGAAATCTGAAGAAATGTCTGACGGATCTGAAATTGTGTGCGTTCAATTCCCTAATTCGATCTGTATTGGAGTAAAGTTCCACCATCTCGGACCCTTACACGGACAAGAACATTTATACCATAGAAAAAGTACAAAGGTGTGCAGCAAAATTCATTCTGTCAGATTACCAACGAGAAAGCAGTGTAACATCCATGCTAAACCGACTAGAACTTGAACCACTGAAAGACAGACGTCATGAACACAGACTAGTACTGTTGTTTAAGATCATCAATGGGCTATAGTAGCCATACCCGCTGACGACTACATCACAGTCAGCTGTACCGACACACGATGAAACAACAGTCAGAAACTACAACAGATATAGTGCAACACTGAAAACTACAGACAATCCTTCTTCCAACGTACATTAACCGATTGGAACGCTCTAAAAGAATTAATCCTCCATCAGCGTAACTACGGTTGACCTATTCCGTAGTAGCCTCAAAAACTAACTTTTACCCCACTCCTCCTCACTGCATGTGATATTCAATTTATGAATATTATCCGGAACCTTACGTCACTAACAGTTGCCATCTAGGCCTGTTATATGCAAATGAGAAATGTGCGGACAGTTTATTTTTAGGTAATAAGCAAGAAATAGAATCCATCCCTGAAGTGAGGTAAGGATAAGGTTATTCAAACCCTCGGGATAAAATATTGAGCAAAAGACACTCGGCAAAGCCTCGGGTCTCCTGCTCAAAATTTTATTCCTTGGGTTTGAATAACATATCCATAACTCACATCAGGGATGGATTCTATTAATCCTGATCACTTGGGGAAACGTTCAACACTTAAAGGCAAAAAGGAGATATTGCCGAGGAAGGCGCTAGGAAACAGAAAGGTCGTTAGCCCTGTTGTTAGAAAGTATACAGTAGAGAAAATATAAACTGATCAAGGTCACAAATGGCAAATGTTGCAAACTTTAAATGCAAAGGCCCACACGAAGCAGGTTTACGGACAACAGCCGTCATGTCACCAATAAGATGTTGACATTCATAAGGAATGTAAATTACAGCAATGTATTAGGGATCAACTGCCCCGTTAACAGGCAGGCGGGAGGGGTCGGGGGGGG